ATTCCGAATATTAGTCGAGATGAATGAGATTGTGTGGCCACTGATGAACATACGATATTCCGACCAGGAACACGCCCGTTAACCCTATTATTTTTGCGGGAGCTAGGTGTTGCTTTAGCAGAACGGGGAACGGCAAGGCCAAGAGGATTATGTTGGACAGAACCGAAAAGGCACCAAAGGAAATGGCAAGAATTCCAGGGTCACCACATCTGTCGAGTACGGCAGTATCCCAGGGAGCTCCTTTTCTAGGAAGACAGTACACGATCACTAGAACGATGTTGACTCCATATGCAAGGAACACTAGGACGATCAGTACATAGCAGGTCCGGCGCATCCATCGTGTGTTGTCGAATATTCGGATATACAGAGCTAATACCGCTGCTTTGGTTGCACAGAGGGCTGGATAGCTAAGCATTTGCGACGCAAAGTGTCTCTACAGCGATTAGAATTTAAGAGCCGACAATGCATTCGGCGAGTGAATGAGCTCACCTTGATGAATGATGTGGTTATTATGCTCATTGGAGCGTCCCACGAATGTTTTGCGTTCCCATCGCGGGCAACTGGGCCATCAGTCAGCCTAGGCTCGTTTGGAGTCAAGGGCGGTAATGTTGATTGCACATACCAGAATAAACTATCCCCCAGAATCCAACGCCAGCCATCTCTCCGAAGATACATAGGTCTGATACATGCGTCTTGCTTAGCAGCATTCACCGACAAGACCCCTCCGCTTCAAGAGGTTAGAATACATACAGTCATCCAAGCATAGCTTGCCTGTGCGTTGATAGTTAGAGAGAAGCCGTAACGTTAGGCATGCCATGCTTATGCATATAAGAGCCAGGCCCAGCGAGAGGACCGTTGACTCCAGCGATGGGGGGTTGACGAAGTTGGATGGGCCGCCATCCGGGTTGGGGGCGATGGGGATCTTCGACAGATCTGCCATCGCATCAGTAATTATATATGATATAACTACTGCAGAAGAAATCGTTAATCAACCTCGAACAGCAGGGAGAAACAACAAGCCCTAGAAGACGACTAACCCGCCTAATATTTTTCCTGTCGAAGCGTTGGCAAAGCAGATATGCCATTTTAATAAGAAATATGAACGGGTTGAACCTGTACGGCCCCACGAGGCTGTAGGAGCCGATACAAGGTGGGACGGGCCTGTTTAGGGTGTGTCACCGTATTCATGCAGCTGAATTAATTATTAACCTATACATACATGCCATCGGACCAGGGGATGAGATGAACCCTTGCGAGCTTGTCACCCCTTGATGCGGTGAATATGCAGGTTACATGTGCTTGAAGAAGCCATGGTTCTAGCAGCCTCACATGGCGGTAGGGGGTCCCTCCGATTGCTGTAAAGCCATGATACGGAGAATAAGTGGAAGTTGAACCTCCCATCAGCTAGTTACATCGCCGTACTCGGTGCAAGGCTGCAAGATGTTCGGTTACCTTGGTGCCCAGGGCTGGAAAGTATATGGTTAATGTAAAATATGGGGCTGAGGGCAGAGGCGTCGATATGGTTTCTGAGTATGCATAGCCATAAGCACCCAGATTTTAGCATAGAAACATGAGCTTGAGATATCCCACATGGAGTAGTCGTGTATATATTCTCGCTCTGTCCGTGTTGAATGCTCAACCCAACTGCTTCCTCCGAAGGCGTCCCGCATCCTCGCCGAAGGACCGCGATCTAGTTGTCTCTTGAAATTCGCGCAAAGAGCGCATCTTTACGGAATAGTTTAACCAGTTTGCTGCGACAAAGGATGGTGCCGTTGGTCGAGGCTCTGAATAGCCTTGCTGATGGTAACACCTAGTTATCTTAAATAGTCAACTTGTTTAAGGGTGGCCAGGAAGATATATTTGGGCTTTTCTCAACAAGAACGGCTCCGGGTCATACCAAATACCAAATACTTGACAGTACTTTGTACACAGCCAGGTGGCCCGCACATGGCTGCAAGAGCCAGTGAAAGGCTCCCACACCTCCTGGTGATGACGAACTAACAGATGGATTGGGGATCTTCCCGTCCAACCCGTCTTCTTCGCCCTTGTGGAGTCATGACTTTTCCCTCGTGGCATCCATGACCCAACTCTGCCTCGTATTCAGAGTGATATATAGCCTTTTTTTTACGGGGGGAATTTTTATGATCTTGCCCACGGACAAGCTTCAGTTAGAGCGATCCATTTCTCGAAGTGTTCCTTTCACGAGGGATATATCTTTTATTCCGTACACCGCTGGATGGTGACAAGAAATAACCCCAAGGAGAAAAGATGGTCAACTTCTCCAAGCCCCAGGTCATGGTCCCTATTTCACCCCGACTTCAGACTGGCCCAAGGGTGGCTTGGCATAAGTCTCGGCTTGGAGTTAGTCGCTGGACGCATACAACTCTACCTACATGTGTGGGGATCAAAAGAAGCATTGTCCTCTGATAAAGTGCTTTGCTACGGCCGTGACTCCTACGCAAGGGTCTGCGCACGTCAAGATCATAAAGTATCTACAGAAGCTTCCCTTGCTGCAGCATCACTCATGGCATCGCATATCAGGCTATGACTCTCGCACACGGCCGTTTTGCGCTGAAGGCTCTCCCTATGTGCGAGTTGTCGGGTGCGAGCTACTTATTCAGCAATAGATTTGAACTTGCCCTTCCAACAGCCGCTGATGATCTGATTAACCAGATCCTCGAGGTCCATTTCTGGGTACGTACGAGTGATGAGTCTGTCAACCAGGTCCAGCCCATATAACCCCATCCAGAGCTCCGTACCTTGCACCATATACCAAAAAATAGATCCCAGAGCAAATTGTTCAGTGTCAGTACTAGTAATGCCAAAAGTGCTACCGGATTCAGCGTTTCCTGGGCGAAAGTAGGGATAGTCACCGACTTCTAGATTATCACCAAGTTTAAGCGCATGGTCAATATCGATAAGCTTGAGATGATAGTTTTCAGTAAACATGATATTACCAGAATTAATGTCGCCATGCGCGTGGCCTATAGCCTCAAGACAAGCTATAGCCTCTGATAGTTGCTGCATCCATTGAAGTATAGGGCGAGGCTTCTTATTCGGGTTTAGGCGCTCGTGAAGTGTACCATTCTAATAAAGGTCCATGAAGATAAGGTCGGGGGCGTAGGGCAGCGAGTGAGCTATAAATTGGCATGGCATAGATTCCAGCTGTTTAAATATGGCCTCTTCGTGGCGTGCGTGTTCACCTTCGGGCTTATAGGAAACCTCAAGGCGGATATCATCACTAATTGATAATAGAGTGGAATGCCCTCCTGCTCTGTAGATGGTGGAACCAGGAAAGCTCATCAGAATCCGTCGATTCAAGGGGTTAACGCTGCCCGCGTTGGTTGGTGGTGATGAACCGCCAGTTATTCTGGGAAGATAATCACAAAAGGTTTAATATGAAAAATTGAGCCCATTTCGATCCGATTCGATTGCCATTCCAAGGAGGGCGTATGGTGAAAGTGTTCCGTTTCTTATCCGTGCCAAACCACAGAACAATGGCAGGACGAATGAAAGCTCCTCGGTAAAAATAGCGTAGGAGAATTTCTGCCTTGCAGTCCTTGAAGATCTTCTCTTGGGTTTTGTAACATGTAAGTACTAACTATATGTACTTCGAATGCATACGAACTATATGTACGCAAGCATCAAGCATCAAGCATGCACCAAGCATGATATTAACTCTTAGGAAGAAGGGCACAGCTAGTTCCTGCGGGGGAATTTCCATCATCTATATTTATCCATCCTTGACGTCCGATCTGAGAAGAATCGAAACCGTAAGTGTAGGGAACGAACAAGAACCATCATACCTATAGCATGCTCCTTTATACGTATGTATATACGTATCACCGTTGAATGTGTCGTCTTTGGGATTCTCGAGAAGAAAAGCCTGTCTTCCACTGGAAATACTCGTTCGCCATTGGTTGTTGTTTTATCCAATCAAATATAAGAAGTCAAATCATTTAATACTCACGTGACTCATCAGACCTGGTACCTATATCGGATTAAAAAGGGGGCTTTGAGATAAATATCAACAGCTTTCCGATGTGATACTCGATATATCTGTACGGAGTATGTCTTCTCTAATTACGTAGAATCTGTGCTAACATTTGAAATAGGCTCCATCGCATCCTCCGTCCCTCAGTTGGGGTGATTTGCACTGGCAACCCCCTGCTTGTCCTCGGTCCGGGGTCCGAGCAGGGTTCAGCCAGGCGCAGCCCCGACTCCCGTACTGTGTATGTATACGATTGGCCGATAGGATCTCATTGTTGTGATCTTGAGACACCCCGAACTCCAGAAGAGCCAACAATATAACATAACAAGAATCATCCCGTTTGATGTTGTGTGTTAAGTCCTGATGGAGTACAAGAATGAAACACTTTGCTCTCTGGCTCTTTCCAGCTTCCTCTCATCCACATCAACGATCATCTTGGTGACGGTAGTCATAAGAAACGAGGAAACGAGCCAAGACAAGCCGTTTACCTGTCCATAATGTTTGAATATTTTACCGCATGGCATATCCCGCCTCTCTTTGTGGCCACGGCCACTACTTTCGGTGGATTAATGCCCTTCTGGAACGCCAAGTACGCCATTGAAGAATTCGGCCTTCCCAAGCGTATCGCCGTCTCGAAAGAAGCTCAATCCGTGATGGTCTCAGGCTCGGGACAGACCACAGCACTTGGACTCGTACTCTTCGCTTTTTATTTCCAGGGGAAATTTCGCGAGGTCGATACCATCATGGTCATTCTGGCGTATCTTGGGCTAGTTGATGGCTATGTCTGTTGGCGCGAAGGAGTTCCTGGGACAGCACTCTTTCGAGCTACTTCAGGATTGTTGATTGCTGGATGGGGCTGGTTTGGCTTGACGAGCACATAACGTTCTCTTGAGATGAAGGGCCGAAGGAGGAAGAATAATAAAGCAAAGCGAAGACCAAAGGAAAAATTTGTGGCCCATATTATTTGTGTCACAGGGAATTCGCCCATCCTGTATACCCAACAACCAGGCCGCTTATACTATCTCGGGGTATATTAGTCTGCCGGACTCTATCACTATTATGCAGAAGTTTCCTGAGCCATCGCCTACTCATCGATACAAGACCCTCTAGCCGACATAGAGGAGTAGCTGACTATCCAGCTTTGCTGTATAATCTCCGTCAACTACAAATTCTAATTCTATCTTCTCCCCACCTTGGTCTTCTAGACACCACTCCGGAGACAACTCAGTATCCTTCATGTATACCAGAGGACATCATTTTCCATATAAATATCCCTTGGAACATTAGAATTACTCTAGAAACTTCAGCACTGGGCAGGTGTAAATGTTCCCTGCCATATATCCTAAAAATAGCTTTTTTTCTTATCAGCATATTTAGTGACTCACTTAGTGACTTACTTCTTGAGAGTGAATATGCGAGCTCACTCTTAACTTTTCCCTGGCTTCTTCCCACGGGTACAAATATCTCCTCCTACCTCCCGAACTCTCTCCCCAAACTTTTCCTCCACCCGGCCCAGTCGCCTTCTCTGCTATTAAACACCTAGTTTAAGCCTTTACAGTTATGTCCTCCTTTGACAGTGTTGCCATCCTAATCTCATAGCATCGGGATAGGATTACAAAAGGAATACCTCCCTAAGGAGTACTAGATTGTTCTCCCTGATATTTGAGGAAAAAATCTGGAAAGATCAAGAAACGCATGTGCCAGACATCCGGTTGGGTATCGCTACGCCAGAAAATTGGTAGCATGTCTTATTCGATTTAGACCTGGCTCTACTTCCTCAGCCTTATATACGTCGACATCTTCGGATTTCCTACCCACCAAATATAGATCAGAAGTTGATTATATTGAGGACTGCAAAGCAACCATCCGTACTTTGTCACGACCTAGACGCCTATCACCCATAAATGCGTTATATGAACCTGAAAATCTTGTACTTGCATCTATCCTCGTCCACAAAGAGAGCCAGGTTATTAAATACCAAAGCAATATTATACAAGTGAACATGGGCGACGCAGTTCTCAAACCTGATGCGTTCGAGTCTGCGTATATTGGTGCTAAGGTAACCAAGGTAGCATCAGTATCCAGGGGAAAAACAGATGTTCAAAGTAAACGATTTCCGCGAGGCTGTTGAGGCATTATGCAATGCTTCAAAGACGGAGGACGCAGGCTTCGTGCTTCAGACATTTTGCATATTGCCATATTCTTGGTTGGCTTCTATCACAGGGTGTCAGAGCAGCACATATAGTTCCAAAGAGCTTTGACGAGAGATTAGTCACATACTTATTCGGAGCTGAGGCTATTACTACCGATGGCTGCAGAAATAGTAAGCTTTATCAAGATACCCGGCCAATTCTAGATACTAACGTATATTGTTAGGCCTAATGCTAGAAAAACAAACCTAGTTAGTGATGGATATGGGCAACGTGGGCATTATCCCAACAAAAGCACTATGAGCTGCAGGCGAGACAGTCGAATGGAAGCTCCTAGTCGCCAACCATGTCCTACTTCAGCACATCGCAGAAGGCGCCAAGTGGAATGCGGAAATCCCCCTTGGATGTCACCAAGGGCTTCTTCCAACAAGGCGTTGTGCCGTCGGATAGATCTAATGTTGAGGAACAAGGGCAGACGTGGCGCGGCAGATGTGTTTTTCTGGGATAGCTCTGAGAACGATGACAGTCTTGATGACGACGACTCTTCGGCTATAGATTCGTCGGACCAGGCGATGGAAGGTAAGGATTTAGCACTTCTCCATTTCCCCTTAAGCCCCAAATATAACATTGCTACATTTACGGCCATAGATGCTTTCGCAACTAGAAGGTATCTATCCTAACAATATTAGGGCTCAGAAGACAAGCGCTTAGTTCCTTAACAAGTCGTCTTGCTATGCTCACCATATATTAATACTTATAGGACGAGGTTACCCATAACCCCTGCTGGTAATATAGCTATCTCGCCTATCCTCTTCTCGCCTTAGGCTTATTCTCTGCGAATAGAGCACTATATTGATCTTAACTATCCGCTCTAGACTTCATCAAGTTTGTGCTACTAGCGATCCAACTGTTGATAGAAGGAAACTCCAAATCATTTCCCAGCCACAGTTTATTATTTGCCTTCTAAGGGGTAGTTGTACGGAGTACTTGGCATCTAGATATATTCCTGCAAGAAGATATATGGTCTATATATGAGGACCCTTTCTCCTCTATACCGTGATACTAGACTTGTACTTAAAAATTTTCAACTATTTATTATAAAAGCTTTGCGATTGATGCAAGAAACCCTGTGCTTGTCTCTATTTCATTATGTGTATTGAAAGACGTAGCTATAGAGCGGGCTGCGAGGTTGCCTTTATCACGTGAGGGGTTGTTTCTCAACTTCGCGAAAGATGTATACATCTATCAAAGTACCGGACTGTCATTGACAACAAACAAATCTGCTTTCTTAACCTTAAGCATTACTCTGAAATACAATTAGACACGTCCTACTCTGTGAGGACTCGCCATCCACCCCGACAAATCCCTCGAACAAGTAAAATGTCGCAGCATTCCACATTTGGCTCGCCATCTCCAGGCTCTTCACGGCGAACTTCAAGGCACATCACTACTGAAGGGCTCACTATATCCAGCGAACAGGCGACTCAAAGTAGGCCCAGCATGGAAGACGTTGGCCGAAGAGGGTCTACAGCCCCTATACCCGACACTGGAGATTCAGCAGCTCTGCCCTTGTCTGCGTCCATGGTGTTACCGGTGCGCCCGAAGGCGAACCGTCAGGCTCTAGCAGAGATAGAAGCACTAGATGATAGAAAAGGTATTCTCCTTGATTGAAGTTCCATATATTTATATATTAGGGTTAATCTTACATATATCCCTCATGTGTGATCTAGTTACTGTTCGATTCCTCCCCATGCCATCTGCGCCTATTCTCCAGAGCAAGGTGTTCAAAGTCAGTGCTTCTCAGAAGTTTGAAACAATCGTTCGCTTCTTAAGAAAGAAACTTGGTTGCAAGGACACAGATTCTGTCTTTTGTTATGTGAATAGTGTCTTTGCTCCAGGTTTAGATGAGGGGATTGGGGGTTTATGGAGAGTATGTTTTCTGGTGTTCTTCATATATTTTCTATATTCAGGATGCCTGACTGAGTGTGTGGATAACAGTGTTTCAAGTCAGACGACCAACTGATCATCTCTTATTCGATGACACCAGCATTCGGATGAAACCTAGACCTAATTAAAGATGGGAGGTCTAGAATGATTAGTATTCCTACGAGCTAGTAGTGCGAAAATGATTGCTGGTATGCGTATGCTCTTCAACTCTCCGCAAATATTTAAACAAAAGCTTTCTAGAGGTATGTATATATACGGCCTGGGCTCCGCATGATTACATATCAAAACATTAATCTCTAAGTCGGTAATATAGGGTGAAATATATATGAGATAATGAGATGGGAGGACGTATATGTTTACTCTTTCTCTCCAACAGTTTTCTCAAACTCCTCAACGACCTCTTTTGCTGTTGGGTATGAATATTCGGGCGAAGGGTATTCACGGCGCTTGACTTCAGCTTTATATTGTTCCATGGCCCTCAAGCTCTCCGACCAGATATCGCCATACTTCTTAACGAATTTAGGCAGGAATCTTCCCGGAGGATAGTTGCCTAGCATGTCAATTTGCACCAGCACCTGGCCGGAACATCCGTTACCAGCACCAATACCTATAGTCGGGATGCGCAGCTTCTTCGTGATGATGGTTGCAATCTCGGCTGGCACTGCTTCGACCACGGTCATGAATGCACCAGCCTCCTGGACGGCCAGTGCATCCTGATAGACTTTCATCGCTGTGGCCATGGATTTACCCTGTACTCTGAAACCTCCGAGGGCGTTTTGTCGTTGTGGGGTTAGGCCGACATGTGCAACAACAGGGATGCCAGCTTTGACAATTCGTTTGATAGTCGGGGCAAATTCTTGGCCGCCCTCAATCTTGATTCCTTGGACACGACCTTCCTTAACAAGTCGGATAGCAGTCTGGACAGCTTGTTCTTCAGATACCTCGTATGAACCCATAGGCATATCACCCACCTACAAAGCAACTAGTTAGACTTATTGCTTTGGAAAACGACAATGATGAAAAGGAACCCCATTTAAAGTGAAGAGGCGATGTATACATACCACAAAGGCCGAACCAGCTGCCCGGGAGACACTACGGCAATGCACAATCATATCCTCAAGCGTGACCTCACTAGTATCCTCCATGCCCAGGGCAACCATTGCCAAACTGTCACCAATCAAAATCATTTCCATACCCGCCGCTTCACAGACATAAGCGCTCGGGAAGTCATGAGCAGTCATCATGGTGATTGGTTCCCCCTTTCGATACATGGCTTCCAATGACTTGATGGTAACTTTCTTCCGGTCATGACTTGGAGCCTTCACCATGGGAGAATTCGAACTGTACCGCCCTTGCTGCCGTACAGCGGACTGGCACATGGCAATAGGGAAATGAGGTGGCATTGGTCGAGCTACCTTATTCGACAACCCCATGACAGCACCGAGGCGAATAGGGGATGAGCACGGCCGAACCAGGCGGCTGTAGATCCGATATGCCATGTTGAAGGTTTCGGGCGTTTGTTGTGGTTGGAGGTAGTAAGAGGGTAAAGAAAAAAGTGAAGAAACGGGGATACTAGATTGTTTACACGGACGAGGACGGAAGAAGATCTAGTTATTTGAATGGTTTATCTCAGCCAAGTTCAATGATTAAGAAAATATTTTTTGTGTGGATTTAAGCGATGCAGGGAGAGGACTCATTCCATCTGAATAATTTTTTTTTTCTTTCCGTTTCCTCTTCCCTGAGGGAAAAATCAACCTCGCTTTTATATTTGGTACGTGATGGTTTATGCAGCGTAGAGAAGAGAATATGGAAGTCGTTAGTTCCATAAGGATTCACGCCGGCGGAGGATGACAGCATGTGATTGGACAAGGCAGATCACGAGATATATGTCATGTGACATGTCTTGGCCCCCTTATTTCTCCTTGTTAAGGCCATCAAGGTACAAAAAGGATGAAGTAAACACACGATATGTGGATTATGAACAAGAATGGAAGAGTCAAGGGCTTCTGTATCTGTAGTATATTAATTACTTCGCAGTCAGAAGGTCTGTGTTCTGAGGATTTACGCTGGAAGTCGCTATAAGTACAATAGTTGGAGAAAAGCCATGCTAGGCAAGGCAGACAAGAGCGCCATCTTGTTATGAATACCGGCAACCGTCTTCGTTATTCAGGCCCATGATGAAGTCATCTATCTCAAAGAAGTTGGCCTGATTATTAGCAAACTTTTGGTGTTTCCTTGTCTCGACATGCTGGGTTTCTTGTTAGCTTTAAGGCATCACAAAGTGGACAAGTGGATGAGAGATCTCAGGAGTAAAGGGGGAACATACGTCGTCAAAATCCTCAAATTTTTCCCTGCAATTCTCGCAGTAGCCTGGTTTAGGCTCCCGCTTTTTGCTGGCGGCTTGTTGCTTTCTTAGACCGCTGTGTTTCCTGGGGGGTACGTCGCTGGTCCGCCTGTTCTGCTCTGTAGGTTGCATGTTACCGTCGTCATTCATCTGCGCCTTTAGCTTGGCTGCCCGGGCGATCGGTATCCTAGCGGGCTGTGATACGGCCGCTGCTTCGGCTCTGTATGACGATGAGATGTTTGTGGACACGATGCCACTGCTTTTCTCTAGTACTTTTCTTTTCAGCTCGTGCACTTCTTTGCTGGTGCCAGCTTTCGCGCCCTGCACGGCTGCTGTCGAGGATATCATCTGTGAGCGGATGGCGGATGTGATGTTTGATGGCTGGATTCCAGAGGCAGCTAGTTCGCCTCCGAATTTAAAGGGTAAGGAGGAAGCTGAGAGGGAGCCCTTCGACACCGGCCTGGGTACTACAACGGTAGTCTCCATGGGCTCGAACGGCTTGCCTGCAGACTCCTCGACTGCGGATTCGGTGTCGTCTTGGTTAGTAGATTGTTGGTTTATTAATTTGCTTGGCCCTCTGGCAGGAGGCGCCATTGATTTTGATACCAGGGTAGTTTGGGTATTAATTTTGGCTTGTTGCTGCTTCGATTTATCCTTATCGGTTCTCCTGTTGGCCGGAGCATCGACAAAGGGGCATTTCCCCAGATCTGCGCCGCGGAACTGTGGCCAGGCTCCATCCTGCTTTCTGCTGACCTTCGGGTACTCCCGAACCACGACCGGGCGGGTTTCCCTTTCATAATCCCAGATATACAGGTACGGGCCTTTGAATGGGACCAGGCCCTTACTTAATGTTAGGGTATCCGAGTCGGCAGGAGCATGGAGTTTCTCATGCTGGAGGGCCAAGGAGAGGTCATTTTCGGCCTTGGTTTTTACGGCAGCACTACCAATGCGGCTGGGCTGGAGTATATGGGCAAGCTCCTTGTCGTTCATAGTAAAGATAACCCGCTGAAGCTTGTCTAAGGTCCATATCTTCATATTCATCTGACGAGCCCGATGAAGCAGATCCCCGCTGCCACCCACGCTTTTCTTAGCTTCCGGCTCGATCGTCCCAAACCCCGTCCTCGATCGTGTCCTTCCCAGCTGCGACTGGGCCGCGTCTGCACCCTTCTCCAGCAGCGACGGGTTCACCGTCTGGAGTGAGCCCTCAAAGTTGCCTGCAACGGGGGATGCGGCCTGGTTGGCCTCCGTAGGCTTTTCCGAGTCGACCTCGGGCGGGATAGACCGAGAAGTAACGACATGGGTGACTACTCGAGAAAAGAACTTTTCCTCGGTCTGATAGCTTCCTGCTTAGTAAAAAATTGAACGAGAAAAGGCAGAGACAGAGGAGAAGAACCAGACTTACAGCCCCGAGAGACATGATCTGCCTGACATATTTCTTCCTGGTTTCGTCAGGGATGCTCTCAAAGTAAAAGACATAGGTAGGAAAGACTTTTCGATAATGTCTCTGCCACTGGCGAACACTCTCGACAGATTCAGGACAGTACTTGATATTCCTGCTCACTTTCAGCGTAGTGGGCTGTTTCGGCTTATCTCTGGCAGCAGCCAGTTTCCTCTCGAACGCGGTGGGTTGGGTGTTCGTCCGGCGTGTAAAGAGCTTCGACTCGCCCGTCTGCGGCTGGTTCAGGGTCCTCTGGGGGGTTCGCGCGTCCGTATTTTCAGCATCGAGCGCCTGTTTCTTCAACGGCGGCGGAGCAGAGTCCCACGGCAGCCCGGGGGGCCGGCCACGCTTCATGGTTGCAGCCGCGGAAACGGCACGGTGAGGGGAGTTGGTAGCATTGGGGACGTTTGCCAGGGGGGCTCTTCGGGTTGTCATTGCATTCAACGCGTGTGGCGATGGTACGAATAAAGTGGCCATGAATAAAGATACGATCAGCCAAGTGAGGTACGTCGACTGTACGAGAGAGAATGGTGAGCTGTGAAGCGGTGCGGGAGCCTCAGGGCACGCGCGATGGTACCTCTCTCTCTCTCTCCGACACGGTCGACCAAGGGAGGGACGTGAAGAGGGCTGGAAAAGAAAACCAAACGAGAGAACGGAAGGGGGAGGAGGAGGACGCTCTCTTGAGGCCTCGTCAGGATGGTGCAGTCATCGCTGGGCCTCGTCGACAAGGGCTTCTCGGACGGTGTTTTTTTCTGGACGAAGTTCTTCACTCGATGTTCTTGTTTTGAGGCTTCCAAACAAAGGCTCAAGTCACGCTTTTCTGCTGACCAACCAAACATCGCGACTTACCCTAAACCCTAGTACGTACTTACATCTCTGGCGTCAGACCAATTCTACTGCCGGTAACAGATAACTGTGTACTCCGTACTCCTAGCTGGGTCAGTTTACTACTCGAGATACGCTTGCTGGGTCGAGGACTATGAAACGGCCAGCGATGTACCAGCTGGCCCATCAAACAGACCGGTAAATAGTCGTAAACTGCATACATCGCCACTTTACACTATCCATCACGTCGTCTGGCTAGCGTGGCAGGGCTGAGCTTACAACCCACCAGGGCCGAGCTGGCCAGTTAGAAGAAGACCAGTGACGCAGTGGTTAGCGTGCCGTTCTTATATCGTTTCATCGAAGTGATATGACTAACTCCATTTTGTTATGCGGAGGTCGTGGGTTCAAATCCCGCCTGGTCTAGTTTTTTTTTTTTCTTTTTTCACCAGGCCTACGTTAGAACTACAGTGTATATATATAAATATATAGAGTAGAAATAATTACTTGCTGTTAGTATACAGGTGGATGTAATAATACAGATGTAGCTGAGCTCGTCTATCTCAAGGCCTCGATGTCGTCAATCTACAGACAGGTCAGTTGCGCAGTTCCATGTTGAGCAGTCCAGGCGATAACAGGGACAGCTTTACCTCTTTGACTGCTTCTGGCGATAAGACGATCGGGTTGTCGTCCCCTACGCAGATACTGTCCTCTATCCTGATGCCGGTGCCACGGAACTTCTCGGGCCACCGGTCGTCGTTGGGGACATAGACACCTCTGTTTTGCACCCTTGTTAGCGAGTAGTCCACCTGCCGGCAGTGTCCGTGGAAGGCTTACGGTTCGATGGTGATACACTGGCCCTTGCGCAGCGTCTCTCGTCTGGAGTAGCTGCCACAGTCATGCACGCTGAGGCCGATGTGGTGGCCGACGTGGTGAGGGAAGAGGGTTTGCATCGCCTATCACTCATCAGTACTGGGTGCGGTACACAACAGGAAGATATCCTTATTTTTCCATACACCACCAGAGGTATTAATGCCGATGGAGTCGAGTTGCTCTCGAAGGCTGCGCTCGGCGATTTCATGGATCTTATCCAGCGATAGGCCGGCTGACTCGCGGCAGAGCGAGATACACGACCGCTGCACGTTGAGGACGGCAGTGTAGAGCTCCCTCTGGGCTGGAGTGAACTTGCCGTTCACCGGCCATACTCTCGTCACGTCGGAGATGTATCCGCCGTATTCCTAGCTGGGCTGTCAGTTTCTTTATGTCCAGGCCACGTTGTAGATTATGACACCTACACCACCCCCATCAACGAGCACCAGTTCACCGTCCCTTGATCATGAGTCAATAACGTCACGTACGTAGCAAAAGAAACAGGAGAAGCCGTACCGTAGAACATTATCATTCCTAACGTAATGAATACTAAGGGCATTCTGTCCACCGGCAACAACAGGGACAAAGGCCGTCCCGTCACCCCCCTGGAGACGAAACTGGTACTCCAAAAAGGCATTCAGCTCGCTCTCGGTGCTGAAGTTCTGTCGCATGGACTCAGTAAACGCTCGACCGGTCAGACGCCCTGCATGTCTCATGTTGGCGATCTCAGCATCGCTCTTGAATACACGGAGTTCGGTGATGATGGGCGCCAGCGGCCTGATCTTCTCCATGGCTTCTTCTCTCGCATCAGCCGTAGAACCAGCGGGGTCGGCGAAGCTGGACAGTAGCCGTGAAAAGGCGGACCGGCCACGCCCAGCGCCGCTGATATCAGTGTATATCTCGGATGCGCCTGATAGGATTTCGGGCAGGAAATCTTTGAGACGTTCGATGTCACCGGACTGAGATGTTAGCTTAGCCCTCTCTCAACAAAATATCCAGGAATCGTCCAGGTGTATGTACTTCATCCGCGTTGAAAACGTCAATAGCCGCCTGTGTACCGGACCTGGCTCCCTCCCATAGCTCTGCTCGCTTGTCCTTTTCTCGAACGTATAGGTGGAAGGTATGCTCGCCCGGGTGGCCAGTGTTTGCTATCGTCACTTCATGAGTACCAGTTGACCATTATCAATCATCCTACCTATCTCCTCAGCTGCTCACCGATAATAGCTAGAGCTCCGGGCTCATTGAATCCTATCGAAGCAGCCATCAGCCGTCCGTTGCACCTCTGAGTTAAGGTTGGACCTGCGCACCAGTCAAATAAAAGAAATCCGTATCCTGATGGTACTTATAAAATACATTCTTCGACTTGTACTTCAACTCTGCCGCCCGGACAATAGCAACGGCGTTCTTGGGCAGCTTGGAAGCAAGTTTCGAGCGGCGGTGGTCATATTCGAGAGCTGTGATGCCGGGAGTCACTGTGCATAAGATACAAGTTAGCAGAGCTTCACGGAAGACTGACTTCTCAGCGGAAAAGAAGAAGAACAAAAAAACACCAACATTCTCCAGCCTTTAAAAGATGCGGGTGTGTCTCGTGAAGCGGTTGACCGAACTGGAGCTCCGCGGCGGAGATGGAGCTATTATATCTTCGCAAAGCGCTGCGAGCGTCGCTTTGAGGTATTCTGCTTTGGAACGAGAGGATGGATCGAGGCCATTGTATCCATAGCCGGGCTCCGGTCGACATACTGGGCCTGATGAGGGTCTTGCTGGCCGTTTTCTTAGTGGAAGAGTTGACATGGAAAATATTTACATCGCGGTAGCTAAAAGCTGCCCTTGTAGCTATCAGACGAAAGCCCAGCCAATCACCATCGCTGCGTTTTAAACTTGGACTAAATGTTGATGTTTGAAATAATGTTTTATTTTGTGCTTGACCAGAATATAAATTCTATTTCTGATCTCATACACAGACGGGAGTGGCAGATGGTGGTTTCATACATGGCGAGATGCGTTTGCGCCAGTCACTCTGTTAGCTAACTACATAGAAAAGATGTGAATACAAGGATTTTTGGGCTATAGAGAAAGGATTTATAATGCATCCTTCACCCCCGCCGTAGCTTCGGCTCGTCTCATTTTATTTTATATTAGACAAGAGATCGAGGACGAGCATGGCCAAAATATATGTACATCCTGACCCGTCTCGCAGGCTGGTCGCCCTCCTGCAACGCCATCTGCCGCACTCTGGCCCTGTACTGCGAGTCATTCAATCCTTTGGAATCCTCCCGCGCTCTGCAGAAGCTTGTGTGCTCGCCACGCTCCCTCCAGACGCAGAATCAGACACAGAGGCAGAGAATGGGGGTCGAGGCGCGAGTTCAGTGCCAGAAGACCCCTGGATGGTGGCATATGTAGATGTATTCCGCTACCCCGAGACCCAGATATGGATATACTCGAGCCTGGAGGCCGACGGGATGAACGAGACTGTTGGAGATGTGATCAAGACTACACTGACGGCCGATGAAGAGACGCAACGGCAGGCCTGCGAGCAGCTCCGAAGTCTGCTGGCGTACGTTCGCACGAAGCTGGTGCCGTCACTCTTGTCCACGCCGGGAGCAACGGAGAAGAACATCGTCCGCAGCCAGACGAACGGGATCAAGAAGGTGCCCGTCGTTCCTCCGACTGGACTCTTGATGGGAACGGTGAATGACGGTCTATCTGTGCTATTCAACCAGCTGGGATACAGGGATGAACACGACCCTTTCTCCTCTGGTCATAAGAAACCATTCTTTCACGTCAACCGTGTCGATCTATGCGTCAAGTTCATGTTTGACCGGTCTCATTACGACTCTGGTGACAACAAGCCAACGCCCGGATATCGGTTCCATGACCGCAAGGGCCGCCATGGCATCCAGGACCATCAGTTCAGTCTCGTCCTGAGTCGGACGCACATACAGCGCACTCGAGCGTCATTCCCTGCCAGCGTGGCACTCTACTGCAGCACGGCAGAGGATGCAGCCGCGAAACCTCCGGGCGAGACCTCGTCTGGGGACAAGGAGGGAGCCAACTCCGAAGAAATGCCTGTTGGTTGGGCGTTTTTCACGTATGACGGGAGCATGATCGTCCTACACGTCGAGCCGGAGTACCGAGGACGGGGCCTGGCGTCTCTGCTTTCAAGGGAGATCATGCGCCGGGGCATGGGCCATGACGCCATTCATGCTCTGCAGCTGGAAGGCGATGTCGAGGGGAGGGAAAGGGGGTGGGTGTTTGCCGATGTCAGTATAGACAACACTGCCAGCCAGAGGGTGATGCAGAAGCTGGGAGGGCGGCCGGGCTGGGCTATGAGATGGATTGGAGGGGAGGTATGCGTAGAAGGGGAATGTTTTACTTGTGCTAATCCTGTATAATGGTGCATAGTTCACTGGCGTCAGTCCTGTTATAGATGGTACATAGATTTACTGATGTCAATGCTGTATGGGTGGTACATAGATGTACTTGATGTCAATAAGAACCTGTTTGAGACGCAGACAGGTAGCGTATAGAGAGCCGATAGATCCTTTGATCGCCGGCTGCATGCATGCTATGTATACCGTGCAGGGGTTGCCCCTCGGGGCACGAAGGATGAGGCCGAACTTCCTTACAAATTATAAATCCAGCACAGATATAAAAAGGAGAGAGATGCTAGAATAGAGATGTTCTGAACAAGCAGCTCAAAGACAACAAGCATCGAAAACAAGTCAATTAAATACCTGCATTCTCGATTCTATCTTAGAAATCAGTTACACACATCTATACATATAATGGCCACCCCCAAGACCTCCAAAGCCTTCCGACGTAGCAGGGGAGCAGGCAACAAAACACTCGAGCCCGTTACAGAAAAGATCCCGTCCACTCTCAAGCCTCATGACGTCTTGATTCGCATTCATGCCGTCTCGCTGAATTACAGAGACGTAGCAATGTTGCACGGGAAGTACCCAATCAAGTTTCTCGACAGAGGTATCCCAGCCTCAGACTGCGCTGCTGAAGTTGTTGCGGTTGGATCAGAGGTCAAAGATTTTGAGATTGGAGACCATGTCGCGCCTATCTTTGACGTGATGAACATCAACGACACCGAAGAGGAGAAGGCGGCGTTGGGAGGACATGTCGATGGAGTGTTACGCCAATATGCAGTGTTTGATAGAAACGTATTGTTTCACTTGCCCAAGTACTTGTCTTGGGAAGAGGTAGCTACTCACCCCTTCAATTCCATGAACGTGAACACTGAGGTGCTGATTCGCTCCATAGGCAGCATGTATCACTTGTGCTGGTACAACAGCATGGAGATCATTGTTTATGCCTCGCTCACAAGGCACTGCTCTACTTCAAGGTAAAGCCACTTCTCTTCCATAGTTCGATCCCGGTAAAGATAACAGTATTAATTTCCTCCCTCCTTTTCTAGGAACCGGAGGAGTGAGCATGTTTGCCCTTCTCATCTGTCTAGCTGCCGGAATTCGTCCAATCATCACCTCGTCTTCCGACCAGAAACTTGACCGAGTGAGAGCTCTGGGAAAGCCAGGAGAAGTTGACACAATCAACTACCGAACTCACCCTAACTGGGAAGAAGAGGTGCTTCGCCTCACACGGGGCCGAGGAGTCGACTTTGTCATCGAGACCGTGGGGCCCAGAACGATAGCTCAGAGCATCGCCTCGCTCGCACGGAGAGGGTCCATTACCATAGTAGGTTTCCTGGGGGGGTTCGACGTCAAAAGCTTTCCCGACACTATCACGCCGCTCTTAACAAAGACTGCCACCATCAGGTATGTAATTCTCTACTAGTCTAACCCATGGTTGTTTCAAGAGATGCTAAAGGTGTTTCTCTCCAGAGGAGGTGCCGTCGGCTCCAAAATCGACCATCAGAATTTGTCCAGCTTTCTGTCAGAGAAGAGAATCAGTTTGAAGCCTATTCTGGATAAAACAGTCTTCTCCTTTGATGATTCCCAGGCGGCTTTTGATTACTTATATGAGGCGAAGCACATGGGAAAGGTCGTCATTAGGATGTAAACACGCTTAGTCGTGTTAGCAGAAGAGCAGAGGATGTCAGAAAACATTGCATAATTGGGGTATCGGTTTCTTTTACTAGCATATATTAGTTATTCAGTATTCGCATGCGTTAATAGGAGTTTCTTGCCATGAGATGAGATCGAATATTTCTCAGTTAATGAAGAGCGTTTGGCGCTAATTTTGGAACCATCTCATGTCACGTGTTTATGAATGACTGAGTCAGAACCTTTTTAGGCATCAAACAGCGGAACCCAGCGAGCGCGGGGAATGATGGCATGAATATGCAGACTATATTTTCCATTCTAGCATCTAATCAAGTATTCTAGAGCCATTGTGCTTATATAGTACTACTCATCTAATATATATTCTTTAAAATTACCCGCCGATCAAGCTAAGGCGCACCCTAGCTACCGTCAGACCCATTCAGCAGACAGATTTATAGGACATTGCCTATCAAAGAAGATATTTTCCATCCTTTTTTCTACCCGGAAAAGACGGGGAAAGAAAGAATGAGTAATGTTGTCGAAGAGAAAGCGCTTAAGGGCGAGTGGGAGAAGATATCGAACAAATGCTTCGAGATACAAGAGGACATGGTTATGACATTCGATGGTCGCTCTTGTAATATTGCTGATAGCGATGGCAATCTTGTCCCAGGCGGGAATCTTGGCCCTATGGATGGACAAGTTATGAGGACCGTGAAAGCTGGCTATAGATGCTACATCATGCGAGCAATGGTAAAATTTGAAAAACATACAAATGGTGATCTATAAGGGTGAACAACCTTTGGCATAATGACTAGCGATACTTTAACCTGTCTAACGTCCCGGATCACCGAGACCCAGCATATTGGAGGCGTTACACACTCGAGAATACCCCATCCTGATAACCATGAAGGTATCCTCATTGATTTTTTCTGGTGAATATAGGGCCAGACAGTTTGTAACCAACAGACCTCCTCTTTCTTGTTCGTCTTTCCATAACTTACTTGTCTTCATTCCTGTCCGGAACGGCTCTGGGAGTTTATCGACCATAACATGAAAGATAAATAAGAGGCATTGCCTGACAGCATCGGGTTCTCTGGTACCGTCAGGCATGCAGCACCAGCCGATTTATACCCATTTATTTGGCTGCTCCCTGAATGACATGTTAGAATCGCGTGAATATCCCAAAAATAAATATTATTATCCTCACAGGATGAGTGCGCCCTGCTTGAGATATCATATCCTTTTTCAAGCGGAGCTTTGTGATTTACTGGAGGCGGGTTTCTTGATGTTGTAAGTGGAGAGCAAACGCAGAAGAATTCCAGCCGCCTGTACCACTATACGGCAACCTTCGGCAAACTGTGCTCGTAGTTTTTAAAGGGCAAATACTAAGGTGATTTCGTTGCCCACTACTCCTCAAATGGCTATAAAAAGCCCCCAGGGGGTATTGTAGGCAGCCCTGAAATAGTATATGACAACGAGCATAGCACAAAAAGGCTACCGTTAACAGCGTACACTTTTCTGGCAAAATAACGCGCACGGCGCCTGACATTTCTTCGAGATGAGGATCTCTTCTTCAGCGATTCATCAGTTTCTGTCAATATCTCTTTCCAAGTCTCAACTTTGTTTCTCTCAACGTCAGATAATGGATATTGCAATTCTAATAGCTTCTTTTCAAGAGTAAGCTTGAATCGGCTGTCAGCAAAATTATTGCTTTCAGCCATTATTTAGCTTGTCGTTTAAAGAAAGTAGGATGGTACGGCGTAGTAGCACGCTATGGCTCAAGTTTGCAAACGGATTGTTGATTGTTTTGTCCCGTCCTGCGGTTAAATATTGAACCTTCTAGTTATCTAACAAATATTAGTACGTCGAAATGGGACAGGACAGAGCAGCGCAGAGCAGAACGGCGAAAAATAAAGTAATAAAGCAAGGTCACCATACCCCCCTTCTTTGAACTACATAGACTAATGGGACGGGGCAAGACAAAAATCATGTTATGTGACAAGGCACCAACTCTGGCACTACTAGTTAATGAACTAATCATTCATTTCCAAGAGATGCAATTCTAGGCAATATGCGAGGGACAATGGGCAACGCTGCCTACATCATCTAGGACCTAGACAAAGCACTTATTGCTAATCAAGCCCATGTATCGACCTGCAGCCTTCTGTGCCCTTCATTATGCCTAGATTTCTTTCCGCGTGTACAAGATTGATATCAATCGAATGCTGGACACCATGATACATAAATAGGACGTTGTCCATGTTGGAAGAACGTGTTTGCTTCCAACTTTGACATCCCATCTACAGCTCAGAATAATCTCAATCTTCGAGCGCTTCATACCAGTGTAAGTCTTCGCCAACCGTTTATCCGTTTAGGTTGTTCCATCATAGTTTACTAACGTGGAATGGATTCAGAATGGCATCCGCCCAACACCAAGATGTGTATTCGATTCGTCTATACAAGCAAGTACGCCAACCGCACCGCGACACCGAAACATATCACTGTATTCTACGACCTTTAGCCGCCATGCAGGAAACCGAACTGCCAGGGTTATAAGGACCAATATATGGCACATTCAACCAAAGAGGGGGTATATACCCTAAATGTTAATGGCATCATGTAAATCATACCGCATGGATTATAGGGCTCATTCTTATCTTGAAGAGGTAGCTGATTGCAGATATCAGAAGGAATTTCGGGGTCGCTTGTATGGGAGGGGTTTCTTGTTCTCTCCCTGGGTAGTTACATTGAAATACAGTCATTACTGAATTCATGTGCCTTCGTTTGGCTCCTTTCTAAGTTTGTATTTGAGAGATGTCTTGAATAATATCTTCAGCTGATTCATATGCCTGTCTCCAGCATTTATCTGTGATTGTAGAACATGCATGGTCATCAGTAGGGAAGTCTCCGTTGCTGAACAGTAACGCAACCTGTTCATCTTCATCGTCATTAAAGGTATCAAGTTCCGGAACACTTCATGTCCCAACATGATGAAATAGATTGCTGATCCCAACGCAAAGATATCGGTCTTAACATCAGCAAAGTCACCATGGCTCCGGGACATGAATGACTTTGTACATTCCCTAGATAGTCCATCTAGCAGCGTCTCACCGTGTGGTGATTTCAGCATCCCTTGGAAATCTGCGAGTATAATGTTGAAATTGTCGTCTAGTAAGATATTTCGGAGGTTGATATCACAATGGATAACTCTCTTTTCATGTATATATTTGACTGCTTCGGAAGCTTGTTTGCACAAGCTTAGCTTTTGACTGAGAGAAATAGTAGCATGTTTCGATGTGATGTGCTCGTAGAGGTTTCCATTCCGTGTGTACTGCAGTGCTAAGCCATGTTCATTAAGACCCTTAGAAGAGATAATTCGAGGATGATCCCCAAGGATTGCGAGAAGCTTAGCTTCTATTTTAATCCTTTCATAATCACCGGGAATGGACGGGTATTTCAGAACTGTTGACTCGTTGACTCGGCCGATGAAGCTTCCACTACTCCGGCCAATAATCTCAGTAACGCCGGGAGGGTAATACCCATGGATTACAACAATTTCGACGTTGGCGGGAGCGCTTGGTAGATCACTTGCAGATCCAGAGACATCCTAAATTCGTAAGACGCAAAACCTTTAGGATCATGATGTATTACAGTATTCGTTGTATTCGACAAAGAGAATGATCCGTCCGCCATTCTATTGAGGAGCCCAGTCTCTGCAGAAACACCGTTGAATCTCAATTCTTGATAGGGGAGAATATGGCGGACAATTATAACTATTGGCCCTACACAAGCTCCGAGCCAAGTACCTTATCTTTGAGCCTCTGATAGTTTTTCTCCAAACGCTATACGGATGAAAGCGAAACGAACCATCACACCGTGCCAAGACTCCCCTATTATAGCCTAATTTAGACTTAATAGATTAGTCATCAAATACGATTGGTCAGCGGTACCGAGGCACGTGATATCTCGGATACAACTGTCTAAAGAAGTTAGCTCATTTGCGGGGTATTGTGGAAATAGAGCAATTATGATTGGTTGACGCTTTTTAAACATCACGATAAGAAACTGCGATAAGCAAAGCGATTGAAGTTGCGGATGAGATGCCGAAGTTCTGATGGCCGAACGCTCAGGGTGGGCCGGAGAAAAGGCGTGGATTTTCTTCAGGCGGAGACGGGGAGGAATCTCACCGCGGACAAGGCTGCAGAGCGGGATACGTCTCATTGGTAGGCTTGTGTGTTGTGGAGGGGGGAATAAGAGTTGTGTCATTCCGATGAATCATCCACGTTTGCGACGCCCTTTCCTCTACATGTCCCTCCGCGTATATATATATCTATATCAGTGCTGAGGCATCCTTCTTTGACGCAAAGCATATAACAGAAATCCTTCTTCAGTCAGCTCCAACATCAAAGTTATATCAACATGGGCAAAACACTCGTGTACCCCAAGGGGATTAGCAACACAGCCAACCGCTACGCAAAGCGAGGTATGCTGTGGTCTACCACCATTGATAGAGACAAGAATTCTCACAGTTGTACCTAGTGACATATGACCTTGGGCCAATCCACTCCATCATCAACTCTGCAACCCACCTTGATGTGGCTTTCGTGCCGGCCGGCGATGACCCATTTCCCACCATTATCCCCATGATCGGGCAGATGGGCTCCTTCGAATTTCCATCCAACAGCATTGATGAGCCCCTAGACTGCTATATACACGGATATGTGAGCGCGCGCATGATGAACATGGCACGCGCGAATGGAGATAAAGGCCTACCTCTCTGCATTTCGGCAACACATGTGGATGGGCTTGTTCTCTCCCTCTCCCCCTTCTCGCACAGCTACAACTACCGCTCCGTAGTCCTACACGGATACGGCGTGCCAGTTACAGATGAAGCGGAGAAGAACTACGCTATGAAGCTGATCACCGACAGCGTCGTGGCGAACCGATGGGAGAACACACGAACCCCTCCCGATGCAGGTGAGTTTCAGAGCACGACCATCATACGCGTGAAGATCGTTGCTGGCAGCGGGAAGATACGTGATGGAGAGGTATCAGATGAGAAGAGAGATATTGAGAGTACGGAGGTAAGGGAGAAAGTGTGGTCTGGCATCGTGCCTGTCTGGCAATGTCTCGGTGAACCAGTCCCGAGTTCGACAAACAAAGTGAAGGAGGTGCCCGCCTATCTGAAGGAATATGTCTCGAAGACGACCGAGGAGAACAGGAAGCATGCATATGCTGCCATGAAGTTCCCTGATTCTAGTGCTCCTTAAATGCGTGAGCATCAAGGCTATTACCTGACACACTGTTATTGATGAGATAATGATTTCAAGAAGATGAATTCCCGAGTTTGTGTTAGATGGAACTAGTTTAAAGAAGTTGAGGCGTAAGTGGCAGTAAGTAGGTTTTGTGTGGAAGTAACAGTCCTTCTCCGTGGTAACAGTCCCGGACTGTTACTATACACAATATAAGACTTATATTTTACTTCCACGCAAACCAGCGCCAAGCCAAGTCTTTGCGGCTCTGCAGATGGTGGGGCCTTCCCGAGCGAGGAAAACAAGCATAAATTCTCCTCGTCGGCTGCTCATTTCCTCAGTGTTACTCAGTCTGGTTTTCCTTCCCGCTCCTTCATTGCCATGGCTTCAGGAATCGCCGAGGCTGACTTGCTCAGCTTTCGTGAGCATCTCAAGAAATCAAAGCGTATCCTTGCTCTGGTCGGTGCTGGACTTTCCGCCGCTTCTGGCCTCCCTACTTTCCGAGGGGTAGGCGGGTTATGGCGGTCTCATCGGGCGCCAGACCTGGCGACTCCAGAAGCGTTTGGTGTTGACCCAGGCCTTGTGTGGCAGTTCTACAGCTATCGACGACATATGTCGCTGGTGGCGCATCCAAATAAGGGACATTATGCCCTCGCAGCATTGGCGAGGAAGAACCCCCATTTCTGGACTCTGACTCAGAACGTTGATGGTACGTTGGCTGCCTCCCTTGGTCCTGCATTCCATGTGTTAACAGTATAACAGGTCTATCAGAACGGGCTAACCACCCAGAGTCTCAGCTCCACCGTCTTCATGGCTCCCTGTTCACGGTGAAATGCTCCTCGGAATACTGCACCTACTCGCGGGACAACGATTTCCAGGATCCCCTTGTTCCCTGCCTTGCGATCCCCAAAGCAGGAAACCAACTAAACCCGTCTACAGAGGATAATACTGGCGAACAGGCTGCCAAGGCTATCCATGCTGCTTTGGATGAAAAGGTAGCCGCCACCGGTCCGTCATGGTCTCCCGCCGGTGAAGATTTAGATATTTCGGATGAAGCGGTCCCCATCCCTCATCTGACAGAAGCAGATCTACCACATTGTCCACAATGCTCAAGCGCACTTCTACGACCTGGAGTCGTCTGGTTTGGCGAAGAACTTCCCGATGATACGCTAGACGGTATTGAGAAATTCCTTGATGAGGGGCCAGTTGATTTAGTGCTGGTTATCGGAACAAGCGCACAAGTCTTCCCAGCTGCATTGTATGTTGAACACGGGAGAGATAGGGGGGCTCGGGTAGCGGTGATCAATATGGATGCGACTCATGTTCCGCAGTCAGGGCTATACGCAACAGATTGGCTATTCCAGGGTGATGCTAGCGTTATTCTTCCGGAGATCCTGAAAGATATCATTGGTGACCTCTAGCCGGGAAATCAGGATGTGACGACAGGACCTGGAATCATTGAGGATATGTATACAAAATAAAGGGCTAGCTGATAAATGGCAGTCGTTGGTTCCCATTGACTTAAGAATTGATCCATGAATTATGAATTAGAACTAAGACAGCAGCGCAGTCTCATGGCTAGTTACTGAACTCCGTGAGAACATTTCATATATCCATTCTGAATACGAACAGACTATTGGATCGAAACACAACAGATAATATGCTGCCGTAGAGGTGGCTACGAAGACTTAAAAGGCTCAACCAAACGCCGAAGCTGAATCATCTTGAATCCACGTCCTTGGCTTCTAACAATGGTTGATCCGTTCTGTGCGACTCGCATAGCAGTGGGATGGTTCCCATTGGATATTCGGCCTTCTATCCCTTTGGTCCATCGATATCCACGGATTCTCAGCAAGGCTCAACCGAAAACCTCCTACTGACTTACAGAAACTACCTAATTAGGACTGCTAGTTACTTAGCAACTGCAAGCGTTATCCAAACTGACCTTATTCAACAGCATTTCCACACTCAGGCTAGTCTAGTTTTGTTCCTCCACACTCTCATGCCTTTCACGAACCCCGGAGACCTATCGTATCTCAGACGGGAAGGTCCCCCCGCCTCGGCTACCAGCTTGCTCACAACTGGCTTCATCATGTGCCACCGAATCCTCACTCTGCTCGTGAGCATGCACCCTTAGGCCCACAAATAAGAAGAATAGCCCCAAGTCGTAGGCAACACGTAGCGCTCCAGCGATGATGAATGCAATCCAAAATTTGTCAGTATCTGCAAGGAAACCTGTGAGGCTCGGTCCTATAGTCGACCCTAGCGTCCGTAGCATGGCTGTGATACCCATCACAGCAGTACGCTCGCCCGGCTTCACAACGGCCGCAATGAATGCGGCCCTGGGCCCTTGGTCCATACTGTTTAGAGCAGTGCGTATGAAGAGTAGCACTATGGTCAGACCCACGCTTTGTGGTATAGGAAACAGCAACACGGCAAGGGATGATGGTAGATGCGTGAAGACCATGGTGTTTATAAGACCCAGGCGGCGAGCAAGAGGGCCAGCAAACACAGTGGAAAGTGCCATGAGCAGGAAGCAGATTGACATGATGTCTCCCAGATATGACTCGGCGAGGCCGAATTTACGCACAAGGTAGTAGTTGGTCAGCGCGTATGAGACCATCCCATCGGCCAAAGAGTCGATGGTCAAGAGAATCCATAGCTTGATGACCACGGAAAGCGATTCAGACGAGATCTTTGTAAACTTGCTGCTGTGCCATAGTCTGCTGAACCAGTATCGGGACTCAGACGAGCTTCCAGACTGCTGTTGGTTGTCCTGTGAAGGCTGCTGGCAGCTGCTCTCATTCTGATTGTTGATATTCTCCCCTGGTGCCACAAGAAGCGGTTCTGTCTCATCAACGTCCGACCTGGTAGGTAGATTAGTAGATTCGCATCTCCTGCTCATCATACATGCAAAGACCATGGACAAGGTTCCCATAGCGACATATATCCAAAACATCGCATGGTAGGCATCTGTGATGTTACCCTTTTTGCCCTGCAGCTTCTTCAGCATACCGGCCATACGGCCAGCGACTTCGTTCCCCAGGGCCGAACCCAGCGTCGACGTTGTCACATACCACGACAGGACATCAGTTCGAGAAGAGGGTGTCGTGAGATGGGATATCGTGGACTCTTCAACGGAGCGGAAGGGACCAAAATCACCACCTGTAGCACTGATGACACCGACGACAGCTCCTAGAAGCAGGATCCAGTAGTTCTCAAAGAAGACGAATACTGTGCCAGACAACACCATCAGGGCGCCTCCGAGGAAGAGAATCCGTCGACGCCCAACACGGTCAGCCACCAGAGTTGTAAGGAGTGAGAGGACAACATCCCCGACCAGCGTTGCCGTCATAAAGAAACCAATCCAAAGGTCTGAGAAGTGTAGGGACGACATGAACAGGGCGAGGATCAAAGAGATAGCCCCAAATGCAAACATCCGGCATGTCCTTGCCAGTATCACGAACCAGGTATCAGGCCCCGTCTGGTACACGGAGTCCAGGCCAAACTCCGTATATAGCCATTGTATAGGCTTGATAAACGACATCTTGAAGTTCTTGTACTTTATCTGAGAAGCGGCTCGGGTTTTTGGAAGATGAAATCTCTGAAACATCTGAATTCTTTAACCATAACTAGCTGATCGACTACGATGCCGTATAACTATCGGCCGCCGTGCGGAGAAGCCCCGTAACTAGAGACGATAGAACATCTACTCGCTGGCTGATATAAAACTTATATCACATCAATTAAGGTGGTAGTATTGCCAATTTGGAATTCTAGTAGGATTAAGGGCAATTAACTACATTAATTATATCCATATTAAATACATGTCATAATATATCCGAGAATAATATTCAAACACAAAGGAAACTTGCTTCACCAGTTCTATACTCGACACTTCCAGCTAGACCGGGTATGTGCAAACCTTGCTCCGAGTAGTATCATAGATCCCAAAACAAAAGCCGTACCGCCAAAGATTTGGGCATATAGGTAATCTCCATCCCTCATCTCTATCAGAACACCTGCTAGAGGAGGCCCGGTAAGGGTCGCAAAGGAAACGATCGTGAAGACCATGCCTGTACGGGTTCCCATCTTGCTAAGGTCGACTGTCAAAGAGGAGCAAGAGGCAGGAAAGAGGCCCTGAGCCGCAGCACCAAACAATCCGTACATTACGGAGAACACCAGAAGGCCTGGCAAGTCACGTACCGCTGCCCATGCGTAAAAGGCTATACCTGCTGCCAGCGACATGGGAATGTACATGCTCAGGGGTCCGGTATACTGGTCAGCAATGAAGGCAGGGATTGCACGGCCTGGTATACCAACGGCATTCGTGATCAGTAGAATAGTCAAGGAAGTGGAGGAGGAAACCCCGATGATATCGTGGCTAAACGTGCTGATCTGATGAGCAGTTAGCATGTATTTCATATGATGTTCATATCTCTCGCCTTGATGGGGGACGTACATAGGAGTAAGCAAAGTAGACAGCCCATAAGTTAAGAAAGCTTCCAATGCAGAAGAGCACGTAGGGCAACTCTCGGAAAGCAAACCACTCAACAATTGGACCGCTCTTCCTTGGAGCAAGCCTCCCACGCATGAGGCATATGACGATGGAGGCGTTTGCCAGCATGATGAATCCCATGACCCTGACCGTCCATGAAAAGCCGAGTTTAGGGAGAAGCTGCTGCGCAACGAGAGGGAATACTATGCCACCAGTGGCACCGCCGCCAGAGGTAATAGCCATAGCCATAGCCCGTCTTTTCGCAAAGTATGTTGAGACTAGTGATATAGTTGGGCAGTATAGTAAACCGTTTCCTAACCCCTGACATACCCCCTGTGCGAGAAATATCTGCCAATAACTTTGAGTAACAGAAGTCATAAAGACCCCCAGTAGCTGTAGAAACAGCCCAGAGATAAGAAGGGTTCGGCAGTAGCCAGCGTCGATAGCTCGTCCGGAAAACGTTCCCACTAGGAATATGAGAAAGACCTGGATAGAGCCTATCCATGCAATGTCTGCCCGAGGCCGACCAAGGGTTCCCGCATAATAAGCTTGAAATATACCGAAAGAGTTTGCGAATCCCCAAGTGTTGAACATGACAAGATGGGCCATCGCGACCTGGGTCCATGCTGCCAGGCCTCCATCGGGAGCCTTCTGAGGAGCCTCCGATATAGCTTTAGTTTTAGAGAGGATATCATTGATAGAGGTGTCTCTGGAATGGTTGCTAGATGCGCAGCCTGCAAGTGTTGTAGTGCTGCTTCCATTGCTCCGAACAAGGACTGGGGCGTTTGAATGCATTAAGAAAGATGTATAAAAACACCAGGTATGAGATTGATAACACAGCAAATGCTAATTGATGTCTTCCATCATTTCAGAGACGGAGCTCCCTCCTGGAGCTATCTATATATATCCAGTTAGCTGAATCCTACTAACACTTGGATGGGAGTAGAGATTAGGTACTTCCTGAGGGGTTTTCCCTTACCGCCGGTACATCATAATAGGATTTAACATTCCAAAGCAATGGGACGGGGCGAAGTCATGATAACTACCTGGGCCTGTCATTGAGCTCATCTCATCGTGCAAGGGACTAGGTTGAATATGAACGTTGGTTGTCCTTCCAGCCGAAGTAGTCAACAACTATGTAAAAGGTAGGGATTGGACGGTCAACCGTTCAGCACCGAGAAAAGTAACCCCCATGGTGATATAACATAGGTTCTAGAGGTACGATGCAAGATCCCACGGGCGCAAGCAGGCCTCCTCCAAGCGCTATCCATGGCTAGCATGGCTAGCATGGCGATGTAACATATGAGTGTACTTCGTAGCCTCCAATCACAAGAGGTAGTTGGGCTACTATGCCAGCGTCTTCTCTTGTCTTCACAGATAGAACAGAGAGATACGACTCTTTCAAGTCCGAAGTTGATTCGAAAATTCAATACATCTGATTTAATGATTTTGTTGGCCGGTTAGTTAGCCTGCGCCTCTCCTGAGCACTTAGCCTATCAGGGGTTAATAAAAATCGCCTATGATATTTATTACATGCATGTAGTCAAGGGGCAAAAGGTTTTACTCTGGCCCCCGGAAACTAGTTAACTAGTTACCTCCCACAGCTAGCCAAAAATATTCAAACAAATGATAACAGCACATCAAATTTTTATTACTGTTGGTTCGGCGCTGCATACCAATTCAATTACTATAAAAAGCACGGCCATAACAAAGAAAGAAAAGAAGAAAATCTATTTATGACAACAATGCGAGCAACCTCTCTACACTTGTATTCCCTCCACTCAATATAATACCAACATTTAACGGGCCGTTTCTCCGAGCCAGGTTGGATCGGAGGCGTTTATTGAACAGCAGAGCGGCTAGCGGCACGGCTGCACTTGGCTCGACGAGCTGCTTTGTACTCTCGATAATTAGTCGTATGGCGGCCCGGATCTCGTCGTCACATGCTGGATACACATCTTGTACGTATGTGTTGCTGCGGAGGATGTCCCAGTTAGACTTAGCCACGGGAGAACAGAGGCCGTCAGCGATAGTGGACTTGTTTGTAAAGGGAGCAACTTGGTGGCCTCGTTTCCGACTCTGGAAGAGGGCAGCACCGCCATCAAGCGGCTCGGTTCCAAATACATCGATGGGAGAACTAGCCTCCTTGCATACCAGGGCTGTGCCGGCCAGCAGTGCACCCCCAGCACTCGGTACGATGACTGCGTCTAGTGGTTTCTCGCCTCGGCCTGTCACCTGCTGCTGAAATTCAAGCATGACAGTTCCTTGGCCCAGGACGATGTGTCGGTGGCCAGACGGCGGAACGAGCGTTGTACCAGCTTCCCGTTGCAGCTCTTCCGCTCGTACCGCACAAGCCTCCATCGTTGGTTGATGGGTGGATACGGTAACCCCCATACGCTCGAGCATGGCGATTTTGCCCTTGTCTGCAGTCTTGGGCATCAGGACAGCCAGGGGTATGGGGAAGCCTCTCTCCTCTGATGCATACGCTGCCGCTTGGGCCAGCGCAATAGCATGGTTGCCTTGTACATATACTCATCAGTGACTTATGTATCAGTTGGCAGAAGGGCGTGGAGGGAACATACCAGTGCTATAGGTAACCAGACCATTCCGGAGAGCCCGGTCGTTCTGCCTTGCTACAAAGTGGGAAGCACCGCGGAATTTAAACGAACCGGTCTTCTGTAGATTCTCACATTTGAAAAATACATTGATCTTTGGGACGCCGGCGCTATGAGCATTGACCTCCTGGAATATGGAATTGCTGACAATGTGTGATAGAGATGCTAACTTGTGGACTGGAGTTTTCAATATCTTGCTCTTGATCAAAGAGTATGCCTCTTTAACCGCCGTTAGATCCAGTGAAGAGAGACGGGAAGCCATTGTCAACCCCGGCTGAAACAGGGGCTAGTTATGGAAGAGACTTAGAGCTTAATCTTTCAAAAGAGAGAGTGAGCATAGCTTCGACGGATGTTGGATGGGACATCATTGATCCCTTTTAAATATAGAAATATTGGCGAAACAGACAATTCCATGGGTATCTTGTGGAGTACTTCGTTCAAAAGAGGATCCCTGGCAGGCGACCTTTGTATATATTGGAGATGGCTCTCGTGTTCGCTCACAGGGGAGTTGCTAAGTACGGCACTTTCAACTACCTGGATAGATACACCTGACGGCTCGTTCTCCGAAAAATATGGCCAATATCAACGATAAGGAGTTTCCGGAGCCATGATTGACTGGGAGGCGCATCCTTTGACCCCCAACCTTTTTTTTCGATCACTCATCCAACCATGGATGTGCTGGAAAGCCCGGTGATCACTTAGGAAATCATAATTATATTTATGGCATATAAACCAATGAAATCCTCCAACAGCTCAAGGCGTCTCTAAGCCACCAATGCCAGCCCTAAGACTTGGCCGGCTGATGTCCACTAACATCTTGATGCTGGTTCTTGATAATGGTTATAATTCATTGGGACGGGGAAAGGAGATCGTTTACCAACAATTCATGGAAGCTAGCGAGAGGCTGAGGATCTAGCCCCAAAATAGATGGTTATCACTGCCAATACAAAGGCCGAGCAATTGGATGGTAGTTCATAAGTTTAGGAATATGGATAAGGGGGTCTTATTTCCTGGTGGAGAAGAAATCTAGATATATATTATTTCGCCTCTGTTTCCAATTCTCGGGATTATTACGTCCAGGACTCAGGCTTATCAACAGCCTCATATTCTGGTACTGCATAGAAACCCAGTGTTAATTCTGCTTCTCGATATTATTTTTCAGAAAGTGACCATCGTCGCAAGAACCAGGTTTAGATACCAACGAGGTAGATGAATGGCCCTATTCAAAAACGGTGTAGTAGTAAGTAACTAATCATTGTCATACGCCATCGCGCACCAATGGAGGGGCAATTCTTCAAATAGTGGCCTTCATCGCAGGTTACTCTGTCAAATGCTCCTAAATATTTAGCAACTATCAAAACGATTAGCACATTCCAACTCAGGCTCAAATCCACGCAGAACCACTTTGTAATAGAAGTGACGAGGACAAGGGAGTACGTTCCAGTTTGGGTTAAAGTGACATGGTACTTGTAGGATGCGTCGAAGACGCTATTAACCACCAGATGCTCTGTTCTTTGGAGAAATATTCCAACAACGGAGGTAACCAAATAGCTGAGGATAGGTGATAATGACATCTTTGTAAGGTTCCCTTTGCCGACTGAATTATCCCGTGAGTAGAGCAGCGACATGCTTTATCTTCAACGTCTCTGCTTCCAATGCTATGAGAATGGAGTGAGCCAGTCTATAGTGCGGTCATCATGTAGCCCACGACAACTTTCCCTTTCCTCCTCGCTTCCTCAAACTTATGTCTCCGTATAGATGGCATTATGGTATCATTTTGACTAACCTCACAACATTGATTGCAGGATATCCCTTCTATTTTTTGCGTATTGAATCTCACTTTTGAATAAGGGTAAGGTGACAGTCGAAAGTATCACCGTAATCAACAATGCATATCTCTGGGGCCACACCCAAGGTGTAGGTTGTTATCAAGCAGGCCGAGGCGCGCCTTGGTAACCCAAAGCATCTCTATGTTCAAGAAGAGCCAAAGGATCGATCTACAGCAGCCTTAGCCCTCAGACAGGGGCTTAGCCAAGTAGCATAGCCTGGCAGCTCGTGTGATAGCGACGCAATCGTATATGGTTAATTCTGTGTTAGGTCGAAACTCTCGTAGAATATGGGTATAAAAATACGATATACCGTAGGCTCTTCCATGTGTTGAGCATTATGGAGAAGCTTAAGCGGTGGAGATTGACTATAGATATGGCTGGTCGAAAGATGTTGTAGGTACTTATGCATACATTTGCACAAGTTTCCAGGCTGAACATAGCCAGACCATGCTCCTTTGGCGTGTTTCGTAATCACTTTAGGCACCTTTACGTGAAAAGGAACCAACTCAATCTTTAAAATGGCCCTTTATCTTTGTATACACTGTGAAAGGAGTTTTCATTACCCTTGGGAGTGATATGCCATTGCGTTCACTTGATAATATTCACAGTAAATGCATGATAGCTCTTTTTACCTGAGGCACATTAACAGAAGAAATACTATACTTCAAAAGCTTCGAAAAGGTAACTTACACCGGAAAACTAATTATAGTTGGAACAAGTCCCTTTTACCGGCCTCGGTGTTTCTCCTTGGGCCTCTACTTGGTGAGATCAAACGTATTAGAAAGAGCCTCTTCCCTTAGTGCACTCAGCTGGGAAAATGTCCTAGAGTTCCTCGTATGGTCGGTGCTCCAAATCCATCAACTGGGGATAAATTGAATTCGACTCAAATCCAAAAGTGGCGTATCCATCAACTAAAATATTAACAGCTCAAAGTACCCGACATGTGCATTGAGCCACAGCCGCCAACGTAGAAAGTAGCATGAGAAAGTGGTAATACATAGCGGCCGTACTTGGTAAATGCATCAGCATAGCTAAGAGGTAGATCCGTAAGGGGTATTAGGGGAGAGGTTTTGTATCGTGGATAAGTCAAGACTATAATGAATGTATTATAGTATCACCAATTAAGGGATACGAAGCTGCAGAGGAAAACCGAAAAAGTGAAGACAGGCCTCTCAGGCCTACTGATATACTGTCTTCCGGGCCCAATATCTTACCCCTTTGGGACTTTAATATGGATATCCAAATTCCTTGATATAACGGTTTTACACGCGTTCTTTTACGGTAACGCCTGAGACATCAGCCATTCCCATGTTTCAACAAACGATGCAATCAACAAAGAACCGAGACGCCGCAATTCGGCGCAGCGATAACAAATCATGCGATAATATTGAAGATTGATATTGCGATGTTGACCGAAGAAAGATGCCAAATATGAGTGAGAGCAGCGAATGATGATTGGTGGAACGAATATGAAGGCATACAACAGTGGGATAATGCGATATCAAGGGCTCATAACTGTCAGAACCTGCCATTCAGCTATAAAGGCGAGCCCGCACCGATTGGCGGTGGAGAGGCTGGTTGTGTATTTGACAAAAGATCCAGGAGAATAAACACGTGATATATTGACTTTGTTGCTGAATAAGCCAGGGTAAGACTAGGCTATTTAAGGCTAGGCCCGTTGCCAGGACAGTTATCGATAAGGAAAAATATTGTTATTTTGTGAGAGGGAAAAGAAGACGTCGATGAAAAGACATGAACAACTTCGCGTCCAAGGGACATAACAACCAAGACATGCTCCCGTAATAATAACACCTTTTCGCCTATCATCTTTCATTTGGCTCGCTTTTTGTTGTTGTCGAGAGAATTTCGATTGGGAAAACCTCTCTGCACGTGTCTAAAGACAAATTCACGGTAGGACTCTCTTTGCTCGAAACGGTAGTAGACTTGTTTATCTAACGATCTCAGCGTTGCGTAGGTAATTTAATAGATATATGATTACGGATAATACTTAATTATTACGTGTCGATTGATTTACCAAAATACACAATGGTTAAAGAACGAGATCCTCCCAAGATTCCCTCCATATTGGGAGGGGAGGGGAAGAAATCCCAACCTCCAAAACCTGTGGAATTTGGGAAGCCGTCACCCCTTGGCCCTATGAATATGAACCAGCGCCACCCATTTATGATTCCTAAAGTAAATCGGCCTCGACCAGAACATCATCGTGCTGCTCCCAGTTCGACTCTCAACGACAATGCATCGAAAGAGAATGATAAGCGAGCCTTCAATCCATTTCAAGCTACCAAGCCGTCTTCTTCATTTAAATATAACTCGTCCATAACACCGGGCGATGATGATAGTGTGGTCGAAATCATGAAACCAATGAACGCTGATCGGACGACGTGGCGGGCACCGGAACCGGTATTCACTTCAAAACCTTCAGCCCCCAAGATGGGCAAGGCAGCTAGCACATTGAAGAACTTTATGGACCTTACTACACCTGATGTCGGATTTGGGAGTTCTAACAGCAGTTTCCGAGATGAAATAGTTGGCTCCGCAGACGCTTACTCATATATAGACAGTGAGAAGGCCAATGAAAACATCAAGGCACTACTAGAGGGTGCTTTTGAGGATGAAGATGATAAGCCTCGAACAAGGTCGCGGAAGAAAAAGATTGAAAAACAGGTGGATGAGCTGGCTGACAAGCTGATGGGAGTCAAAGTAGATGAAAATACCAAGGGGCAGAAACCGGAAGCAGAAGAGGAGGACGACGAGGAGGAAGCAGACGATGGAACTGTTGAAGGGCTAAAAGTCAAACTGCTCCCTCATCAGATTGACGGAGTAGCATGGATGAGGGACAAGGAGAGTGGGCTGAAAAAGACTAGAGGCGTACTTCCCAAAGGTGGTATCCTTGCTGACGATATGGGTCTCGGAAAAACTGTCCAAGCTATTGCTCTGTTACTCACCAACCCCCGACCTCCCACAACACCAGCGCATGATGAGGAACAAGCTGAGAAAGCAAAGGGAAAGAAGGACAAATCGGCGACCCCTGTGAGTGTCTCGAAGAGCACACTTGTTGTGGCTCCTCTTGCCCTAATTAAGCAGTGGGAAAGCGAGATCGAGACCAAGGTCGAGAGATCTCACCGCTTAAGTGTATGTGTATACCACGGTGCGGGGCGCACAAAACACCGGGACGACCTAGACTCCTTTGATGTTGTAATTACCACATATGGTACACTTACCTCTGAACACGGGAAAAACAGTGGCTGTTTCGGAGTCCACTGGTATCGAATTGTGCTTGATGAAGCGCATACCATTAAAAATCGAAACGCTAAAGCTACCCAAGCCGTATATGCGCTGAAGTCGCTGTACAGATGGTGCCTTACTGGAACTCCTCTACAGAATAACCTTGATGAGTTACAGAGTCTGATTAGATTTCTACAAATCAAGCCGTACGATGAACTCGCTGCCTGGAGAGAACAGATCACTCGCCCTATGAGCAATGGTCGTGGTGGGCTAGCTCTACGTCGACTGCAGGTTTATCTCAAGGCATTCATGAAGAGACGAACAAAAGATGTCTTGAAACTGGATTCAAAGCTGGATACTGAAGATCCTGACGAAACAGTGAGCAGTAATGAAAAGAATGAATCATCCAGCAAGTTTAAAATTATGAAGCGAGACATTATCAAAATTGAGGCTGAATTTAGTCCACAGGAATGGGCATTCTATCAGCGCCTCGAGCAACGCGCCGACAGAAGTTTGGAACGTATGATCGGCGGTCATAATATAAGCTATGCTGGTGCATTGGTTTTACTTCTTCGTCTTCGCCAGGCATGTAACCACCCTGACTTGGTCAAGGGAGAGCTTGCTAAAGAGCAAGATGCTCTTATGGGTGATGATAGTCAGGCCAAGAACAGGGAGAATGATATGGACAATATTGCTGATATGCTCGGGGGGCTCAGCATGGCTACCAAAAGATGCGATGTGTGCCAGATTGAGTTGACCAAGGAAGAGGCCGTTGGTGGCACAGCCCGTTGTGCTGAGTGTGAAGAAGATCTGAAAACTCAGGTCATTCCAGCCGTTGAGGCGAAAGAGAAATCAAAGCAAAAGAAAAAGAAAAAGACGGGATCGAAGCCTGTTTGTCTTCAGGAAGAGGCCAAGGTGGCGAGAGAGTCCCAGCGAGCAAGGAGCCGCCGGGCTAGACCTGTCATTATTGACAGCGACGATGAAGACGAAGACGAGGATGGAGAATGGATCGTCCCTGAATCAGAGCGTGGCTCAGAAAACCTTACCGCTCCTGTCGGCCCGGACGGCGAAGATGCGGATGGTGGAGGTGATTGGATTGGTTCCGAGGACTCAGAAACTGACGAGTATGAGGAAGACGCTACTGAAATTGTAACGGATGAAGAGGGAGGTGAAGATGAGGCAGATCTATCCGAATCCATGCCCAGTGCAATCCATGATGTTCAAACATCAGCCAAAATAAGACATCTAATGAGGATTCTCAAACGGGAGTCCGGGGAATTCAAATTTATTGTCTTCTCAGTCTTCACCTCCATGCTTGACAAGATCGAACCATTCCTCAAAAACGGGGGCATCGGATACGCCAGATATGATGGTGGTATGAGGAACGACCTCCGAGAAGCGAGCCTGAACCGACTTCGGAACTCCAGTGGTACTCGGGTTCTGTTATGTAGTTTACGGGCGGGATCATTGGGGCTGAACCTAACGGCCGCAAGCAGGGTTGTGATCCTCGAGCCTTTTTGGAACCCAGTAAGTACATATAGTGCCCCATCTATCTATTCTTGGAGCTTCCTGGGTCTAATATCAACGGCTCTTTAGTTTGTGGAGGAGCAGGCTATTGACCGTGTCCACCGTCTGAACCAAACGGTTGACGTCAAAGTTTACAAACTAACGATTAAGGGAACAGTTGAAGAACGTATATTGGAATTACAAGAGCGCAAGCGCGAACTGGCCAAGTCCACCATTGAGGGTAAATCCGCTGCCGGCAAGCTGACGATGAAAGATATGCTGGCCCTCTTTGGCCGAGATGCGGAGTCACGATCATGGGACGATGGTAAGTTAAGCTTTACGACGAAAAGCAACAAGCTTCTAGATACGAATGAGGTGTTAGGATCCCAGGCTGGTGGTGGAGGAGGCAGCGGGAAGCGAGCAACCCCGCCAGTCATGGAACGCAAGTCAAGTGCTGGTTCGAAGAGAGAGGATCCAATATATGGACGCCGATGGTAGGCTGCTAATGGCGAGATTATGATTTTTTACGTACTTGATACATCTACGAGATCATGAATTTAATCAATATATCTTGTTTATCGTGAGCTTGCCATGAAAGCCACCCAGCTAGCGATGCATCCCTTGAAGGAACATGCCAGACAAGAAGACTATGAAGCAAAGGAAGGATAAATCGCGCACATAAATGGTGCATATTACGAAGTGGTGCAGGTTCGGCCTTCGTGTACCAGGGATATCATATACATAGTATATATATGTAATGACAGAAATGGAAAAAAAAGCACAAACTATCCTTCCACCCTTCTAGAAAAAATCCTTCGACACGTGGAATAAAGATCTCGCCTCCACGTGTGAGATCCCATCTGGCCAGCACTTGCTTTCGACCAGGATAATACCGACAACGCATGTATATATACTTATGCAGGATGAAAAATTTGTCCTTGGTATGGCGTGGTCCAGCGTCCTGAGCCCAATAAGCAAGGAATTCCCTCCCCTGCATGCATTCGCATGTGTATACTACATAGTATGTATACATAATATGATTCCTTGGGCAAGATGCAGGGAGCGTTTCATGTTCGCTGTTCTTTCTTTTTTGTTCCGTGTCTGGCAATGCAAATTTTGTTGGTATGCATTGCGTTCCGTATATTATGACTGGTCAGGCGGTGAGCGATCAAACGCGAGGTAGACATATAACATTAGATTTTGACCCGAGCTCATCTATTTTCCCGCGAAACTGCCGCCAATAGATTGCGGGAGCCAGGCTCTGCTCGCCTCGACTAGCTGGCTCCAGCAGACAGGGTCCACCCTCGTAATCTCGAAGCCAACGCAAGAACCTGTTCGTATCCCCCCTTTCGATATACATCTGTGCATCAGTTGGACGGAGATAAAGTACCAGATTTAGCCATCCCTGCGGGTTCCAGCGTCAGCCCAACGCCCTGTGGCGGCAGGGTTGTTGATGCCATGTTTCACCATGCTGAAGCAGGCATAGGTCGGTCACCTTGTCTGAGAAAGAAAGAGGAAAAAGGTAAAACAAAAGGAGAAGAAAATGCTAAGAGAACAAAGAAATGGACAAGACAAGGAATTGGGTTGCAGCTTGCTCGTATATTTCCACTCAGCCGCGGAGGATTCTCTGTTTCTCAAGGGTGGGCTCCAAAGGTGCGTCTTGTCGGCGTTAGTTTATATATAGAAAGTGTCGAGACGTCTCTTTTTTCGCCTTGGGAAAAGTCAGATGTTAGTCAGCAAGTCACATGACATGAGCTAGTTTTGAAAAACTTTCCTTTTTTGCGGGCAGCTCTGATACAAAGATAGATGAAAAGCCGTAGGATTAAATATATGAAGATCAAGAGGTATGACGTCGGAAGGGCTCAATCTACCGTGTTGCTCCTCCCTATTTGTTTGTTTTCAATCTTCCAGCTGTCTATCTTCATCGTGCGTCGCTCTATCGATCGATGACCCCGATCGATCGCCAATTATTGAAGTTAATACGGGCCACGATATTTTCCCTTCTTTTCTTTTGGGCATGACTCGACAGACGTTCCTCTGAAGTAAATACAATGCAGAGAGTAGAGAACCTGTCAGCTCCGTCGCCATGTCCGCGATGAACATGCACCAAAACAGGAAAAGATGGCGGCTGATGGTGGCAAATGTCAATTGTCGCCCCTGGCTGGACTGGGTAGGTACTTGCTTTTTTCTACTTGTACCGCAAGTTATAAGTACACTTAGCAGTAGGTTGAGCCTTACATAGGTTAGGAGGAGCTTATCCGATAAAAGTACTTATCTACGATATATAAGATATCGGCCCCATTCTATCGAAATATTGTACATACACAAGGTTGAGTAGGCATGGCAAAGAGAAGAGAGGCGATATCTACTCTACCTACCCCATCTATCTTATCCGCCTTGTCTACGCTGCTCTGCCTCTTTTCTCTATGTAGTGTATTGTACAGAGTTAAAAGGGGTAACTTTTTTTATAACTCCTTACAGAAATGGTTACTGTGGGCTTGGCATAACGTAGATAGTACAACCCGGGATATCACACGGCCCGGCCCTCCCCACATATAACCGTTAGTTATATTTATACTATGCACAAAGGAGGGACTAGATGCCAGATGGAAGCAGTGCTTGAACTGATCCCACCTTTTGTGAAAAGGGGTAATGGTACTCTTGGGCGACTAGGGGGTGGTTGGGCTCAATCGTGGAAAGATTATACACTATAAAGTAAGCTTAAAAAACGTGGGCTAGCCCTTAACGGGCGTGTTCGTTCTGGGTTTGGAGGGTGGAGGAACTTGAGCCTTATAAGTATGGTTCGGCAGCTGGTTCGGGTGGATGGTAACCCACAGTCGATCCGCTTATGCTCCGTCAACTAACTACTGTGTATGTATATTACAGTAGTTCAATAGTTACTCCATCATATTACTCTGCAGCAACCCGTCATATTCATCTCCATTACTCCGTCCCGGCTCCATATTTACTCCATCCGTACACCATTCATTCATTTAATCACTCTATCGATTCCCAATGATGAAATGTGAAAATTACAGCGACGAGGAAAAAAAAAAGGGGTGGCAGGGCTTCCTAGACCCCTTAGTCAGCGCCTCACGTGGCGCCACGAGGGCGGCGGGCGGCGGCAGAGCGGGCCAGGGCGGTGAAGAAGACTTGGCACCCCTTGGCAAATTCGCTCACTACCATGTGACTTTCACGTGATCCAACATGTGACTCAAGCGTGTTCCTGAACCGGGCAAAGATCGGCGATGGCTGTTTTAGCTTTTTTTTATTTTTTTGCAAAAAGAAAAACAAAAAAAAAAAGAAGGGCATGTCCGAAAGGGGAAGTTCCACGTGGAATCTGAAGAAAGTCGAAAACTTGAACTTCAACTTCTTTACTTCAACATCAACTTCAACAGCTTGACAACAACAACAACAACAGAACAACGCACTTCATACACTACACCCGATAGACAACAGCGCGTTAGCTTAGCGTGCATTGAATATCGACGGTATACGACCCTGTTACGGAATATACGGTTATCTGGCAACCAGAAAACGGCTTTGATCTGCGGAGTTTCGCCCGCTCCGGCCTGTAATAGACCAACCAGCCTCGCCGCCAGATCCTTCACCTTTCAGCAGCCTCACGCAAGGATACAGTCAGATAGACAGAAACCAAAAAGGACCAGACAGGCACCCATGCGTCGATATTGAAGACTGTACCCCTACAATATAATACATACACTTCAAGGCTTAAAAGCACAACCCAGCAACTGGGCGAGTTGGCTTGCTTCCGACCACTCCTGGACCCGGTCCACCTTCACCTCCTCTCTCCCCCCGAAAGGAAAAGAAAAGAAAAACCACCACCACCACACACGCTTCTGCGTTTCAGGTTCGTTCTCGGACATACGTTATTACCTCCACCATAAGAGTTCTTGGTAATACTAACAAACAGCCTCTAGCCTTACTCTCTCTTCATTCACCAACTCGCCCACATAACAAGTTCAATCGATCGATTTCTCACGTCTCCCTGTTGCTGGCCACCACAACTCGACATTCACATTTCTGTCGCTGGCTTCTTTTCAGCTGTCGATGCAGAGAGAGCTTGACTGTTTAATCCGATCGAACGCGCACATCGGCTGCTGCGGCTGAGATGGGTAATTCCCAGGGCAAGCTCTCTTCTCCAGATCATCCAGGTATTATCATCATCGCTTTCCTCGCTTTTTCGAACTCATCACTCATTTCTGCTAGTCAATTTGAACCAATTCAGGTTACTGCGCGTCGTGGGGAAAGGTGCCTTTGGAAAGGTTCGTATCGTCGAGCGGAAAGATACAGGTCTTACTTTCGCTTTGAAATATATCAGGAAAGATGAAGGTAGAGCCCCCTCCTTTTTCACCATTTCACTTTTTGATAAGAGGCACGTTGTATGCTCATCGTTCAACCAGTCGTCCGGTCAGAGAGTGTGCGGAATATTATTCGCGAACGGCGCATGCTCGAACACCTTAACCATCCGTTTCTCTGTAATCTGAGGTATAGCTTTCAGGATATGGAATACATGTATGTTGGATCACGCCCTTGACGGTACAATCTCCTCCCTTTTTCTGACAACCAGCAGATATATTGTCGTTGACCTGATGAACGGTGGTGACTTACGGTTCCATATATCGAGGAAATGCTTCACCGAAGAGGCGATACGGTTCTGGATGGCCGAGCTTGCTTGTGCCTTACATTATATCCATGGCCAAGGCATCGTGCATCGAGACGTCAAGCCAGATAACATATTACTTGATTCAGAAGGACATGTTCATCTCGCTGATTTTGTAAGAAGTCCTTCCGTCCAAGAAAGGTAGTCTTCGTCCTAACCAAGAAGCAGAATGTCGCCTCCGACTTTAAACCCTCAAAACCTCTCACTAGCCGGTCAGGGACAATGGCATATCTTGCCCCAGAAGTCTTCCAGGGTGGAGGCTATCTATCCAATGTCGACTGGTGGTCTCTAGGTGTAACATTCTACGAATGCATATACAGTAAACGACCTTTCGAGGGCCGGAGCCACAACTCTCTGAGCGAAGCCATCATGCGCAACCAGCCCAAATACTACGTTACGAATCCCGCCGTTACTGTCCCTTGTCTCCATGCTCTCAGTGCCTTGCTTGAAAAGGACCCAACGAAACGCATTGGCGCCATGAGCTTTGAGTCCTTCACATCCCACCCCTTCTTTGCGCCGATAGACTTCCGCGCCCTCCAGAACAAGGAGATTGAACCTGTATTTGTCCCGTCTAGTGACAAGACGAACTTCGACGCAACGTACGACCTCGAAGAACTTCTCCTGGAAGAGGCGCCACTCGAAGCGCGCGCCCGTCGTCAAAAGCCCCGTGCGGAACTTAAGGATGATGCCACTGCCAAAGAAATCCGAGAAGATGAACTTCACCGTATTATAGAAACCATGTTTGAACCGTTTGACTACACGACAATGAACTACGAAACTACCGCTGCTGCTGCCATAGCCGCCTCAGCTAACCCGGAAGACTGCCTGAACCTAACGACGTCGCCGAGCCACAGACGTCGGCACCGTAACAACTCCCAGGGTCGGTCAGAATCCTCCTCACCGTCCGTCCGAACAGATCAGTCAACCCGAACAGACAAATCAACCAGGACGGAGAAATCATGCCGCTCTAACGGCTCTGACCATGGAAATGGCCAGAGCAACGCCCAAACTGATAGTGTCAACCCTGGCTCTCCATCGTCCGATCGCGGCGGCGCACTTTCTCGCTCACCCCCATCCCAATATTCTCCCGCTGCTGCCTCTCTTCAGTCCCAACGCCATGCCAACCGCTCTCATACCATCACCTCAACTAGTCAAGGCATTCCACAATTATCACCTCCTCCTCTACCTCCGGCCCAACTCCCACAGCCGCAACCACAGCCTCGTGGTGCAACCCGCAACCGCAGTAAATCCGGTGGTGTCCAAATGGTGCTTGAAGAGACTGGCAGTTGGTCCGGACTAGCTGATCAGACGTCTAACGGGGATACACTTCCTCACAATAATACAAACGACAACGGTTTACCCAATGGCAGTGGATCCGCAGCCACTGGCCCTGGAAGCACATCGGGAGGGATGTTCTCATTCTTTAGCCGAAAGAAGGGAAGGGAGAGAAGTCCAAAACCTTCAGAGCGTGGAGTACTTGGCAAAGAGGGAGCACGAGTTGTCATTTCCGGTTGATCACACGGAATGACATACGATGAGACAACCCATGGCGAAAGTGTGAGGATACGATGCGATGGATTTCCTACTTTTTCTACTCCCAGTTTCTTTATAATACTCCCTCTTTCCCATTTCCTTTGCCTTTTCTTCTCACATCATAGACGGACTGCTGGATGGCGTTTTCTTTTTCCACTTTCCCTACCTTACTTCGCTGTGCGTTGCTTCGCTGGCGTTGGATCATTGATACCTCTTATTCTCCTCTTATCTCCCCATTCTATCTCAGTTCGAGAGCTAATAAACCCGCCCACCCAGTCGGTCCGTTCATGAATTTTGTCCATCTATGTTGGATTTTTTTTTTCTCGACTCGATTCAATTAGGAGCATTGGCTGTTTGTCTTTCCTCGGTTTCGATTCCCTCTTTTATTTCATCTGCGATGCTATGCGTTATGCTTGTGCTGTGCTTGTGCATTTGTGAGCTGGGCTTGTTCTTGTTCTACACCCTTTGGTGGTTGATTCCGTTACTTTTTTTCTCTTTCCTTGATAAATGGCTACTGGACATGGCTGTTGGTTTGTTGAATACAGCCTACATACTTGTCTACATAGTTACTCGATACCATACATACCTAACTTGACGATAGCGATAGCGAGACTGACACAATACGAATAATATCTCCTCACTCTTCGTTTCCCCTTAAATGTATCACAAGCATAATACATCAAAGGAAAACATCAAAACAATGTCAAATGCAGTTCCCGCGCGGGTACCTGTGCCGCCCTTTTTAGCCGCGCTTCCGCCAGGGCACGCGCGCCAAGAGGCGCGCCATTTTGAATCTGCAAGATGTAAACAAATAAAGTGATAATATGCGACATTGAAGACAACAGACGGTACAAAAGTGCTGCACCAAGTTATTAACGGCTTCTGACGATACATGTTTAACTTGTTTATTTTAATGTTGTTATTTTATTTTGTTTCTATTCCAAATTATTGTGTTACGAGCTACGATTTCTTAACTCTTGCGACGACGGCACCCTCTACTATTCAGCCACTATCACAGCCCCCCCTAGGCCGGCATCTAACCCGATATAATACCATTGACCGCTCATGAGCGGCTCGCGCCGTCCGCCGCATCGGTCTGGGGGTCGCGGCCACGGCAGACAACGAAGCGATGACGAAGATAATGTTGGATACGATTACAACTATGACCATGATAATGACCGCGATCATGGTCATACCCATAGTAGGCGACAAGAAAGTAAAGTGAGAGATAGGACCAGGGGGGATGGATACCGTGGTGTTTACGCCGATGATGAGGCAGCACATACCCTTGACGAAGATGACGTGTTTGACGACAGAAGGGATAAAAGGAGGAGAGGCCATCGTCAATCAAGAGATAGACGAGCTCGAGACCGCACCGAAGATAGTCACAATGAAACTGTATCTGAAGGCGAAGCTATCCCCGTTGATTCGAGACCGAGTTTTGCACGGCCGCCGAACGCTAAACCTGCGCGCGCGGAGAGGCGAGAAAAAGACCGAGACAGGAATTCATATTATCCCAGTCCTAGAGCAGGATATAAAGCGAAGGAGTCACCGGCTACTTCGCCTGTGAAGAAACGGGACCGGGATCGGGATCGGGAAGGGCATAACAGACACCGATCCAGGAGGGATAGCACAGCTGACGAAGATGGTGATGGGCGGTTAAGAGGTCGGAGAAGAAGAGACCACGATACTGATCATGAACGGGAGTACCGGGCAACAGCAACAGCAGGACGGCGTGAAAAGCGGGAGAAGCATACCAGCAACGACTCGGCGAATAGTGCTACGGTGCTTCTTAGCTCCAATGCGCTAGCGCAACTTGACCAGCTGAACCGGAAGGCTGACGAGGAGACGAAGAAAAAGGCTCGCAAGGAGGAATTAAAACAGCAGAAGAAAGAAAAGAAGAAGAAGAAGAAATATATTATTGAAACCGGGTTCGTCGGAGATAATGAAAGAGACAAGGAAAAAGGTTGGGAGAGCTCGGGAGACCTGCGGAGGAAGAAGAAACGGGAAAAGAATAGAGAAAAGGAGAAGAAGAGACTTGTTTCTGGCGCCTATCTAGAGGAAGGGAGAAGCCCTGAACTGAGGACCAGGGGAGGCGGGAGAATCCATGGAGAGAAATATCATGGCGGAGGACGAGGCGGGGGATATGACGATTATTACGATAACGGTTACGATGATGGTAGCAGTGCTGGTAGCGGCTGCTTTCAGAACTGGAGCAAGAGGAAGAAGATCCTTATTGCGGTAGGGATATGTATTTTTCTTCTTGTCATCATCATAACCGTCGCCGTCGTGGTGTCGAAGAAGAATGGTGATGGCGGTACTCATCCAGACGGCCCTGTCACTACTGGACCGTCACATAGTGAGCTTGATGGGATTAGCCCTGACTCTATACCGGTTCGTCACTTCCTATTGCCTTTTTTTAAATTATATGCTAACATCTTCTAAAGCCCGATGCGAAGGGAACCTATCTGGACCCATTTTCATGGTACGATACCGCAGATTTCAACGTCACATATACAGATGAGACGGTCGGTGGCCTACCCATCATGGGCCTAAATTCAACCTGGGATGACTCGGCACAAGCAAATGAAAATGTCCCGCCTTTGAACAAGCCGTTTCCTTATGGTAAACAGCCCATCCGAGGCGTTAATGTAGGCGGCTGGCTGTCCATGGAACCGTTCATCACCCCGTCCTTTTTCCAGAAATATTCTGAACGAGATCAAGTCGTGGACGAATATACCCTTACCAAACGCCTGGGATATGCAGGTAAACCTACATTAGAAAAGCACTACGCGACATTTATCAATGAGCAGTCCTTTAAAGAGATCCGGGATGCTGGGTTCGATCATGTTCGAATACCGTATGGTTACTGGGTAGTGACAACCTACGAGGGTGACCCTTACTTCGCTAAAATGGGCTGGCGATACCTTCTACGGGCCATTGAATATTGCAGAAAATTTGGGCTGCGCGTCAATCTAGACCTTCACGGCGTTCCAGGAAGCCAAAACGGATGGAATCATTCAGGTCGCCAAGGTGATATAAAGTGGCTCAATGGTGATGACGGAGCTAAATGGGGCCAGAGATCCCTTGACCTGCACGACCAGCTGTCTAAATTCTTTGCTCAACCACGATATAAAAATGTTATTGCACTTTATGGCCTTGCAAACGAACCGATGATGTTAAAGCTAGATATTGAACCAGTTCTAGACTGGACAACCAAGGCTGCTGATATCGTTGCTGGGAATGGAATGAAGCAGAAGATTGTCTTTGGGGATGGCTTCCTGAAGCTATCGAAATGGTCAAGCATACTGCAGAATACACCCCATGATATGATCATAGACACCCATCAATACACTATCTTCAACGCCGACCTGATCAAATTAGAGCACAAGAAGAAGTTGCAATTCGTATGTGACAGCTGGGTTGAATTGATCAGCGATAGCAATACCAAAGGAAGCGGGTAAGTTGATATCTACGACATTCTTTTCAGATCCAGCTTTCTAACCTGATACAGATGGGGCCCAACTATCTGCGGCGAGTGGTCTCAGGCCGACACGGATTGTACCATCTACATCAACAGCGTCGGTGTGGGATCTCGCTGGACAGGCACTATGGATAAAAACCCCATCGGCGGAGATCCCGTACTCACCCCGTCCTGTCCCAGTGGGAAACAATGTTCGTGCGACGCCGCAAACGCAGACCCCTCGCAGTATTCAGATTCCTATAAGAAATGGCTAAAGCTCTATGCCGAAGCTCAAATTTCCGCCTTCGAGAAGGGCTGGGGGTGGTTTTACTGGACCTGGGACAGCGAGTCTGCTGCCCAGTGGAGTTGGAGGAAAGGGATGGCTGCAGGCATATTACCGACTAAAGCATACGAACCGGAGTTCAAGTGTGGCGACGATATTCCTGATTTTGGCGATTTGCCGGAGAACTACTGATATATTTTGACATTTTTTGGTTTTGGATATTTGGGGGTTTTATTTGCTTGGTTTCAAAGAGGATGCATTTTTGTATATTATTATTAGTATCATAATTTGGTACATACGGCACTTGAGCAACTTGCGGGCTCTACATAGTATTGTGAATATCATTGATATGTTTGGCAGCTTTTGTCCTTCCATACCGTGGATTTTGGCAAGATCAAACCAACGACATGTCAGACATAAGGAGTCTTAGCGACAAGGGAGGTGCATGTGCGGTGGGCGCCTCGGTGATTTCTATCAGGGGCTGACCACTTCTCGTTGAATGGCTTTAGTGATAATTTAGTGACTGAGTATCATATATCCCCTTACATCTGCACTGCTGACTCTCTTGAATTCTTCAGGCTTTTTACATGGAATCGACAGGGGAAGAAATGTTAACGAGATCGCGGTACCCAGCTCCTGGTATATTCACCATCATGACCAAGGAGCCAGGATACACACCTCTTGAACGGCCAATCGTGTACCTGACATCATAGACGGTCTGCAAGATATTCGACATTGTTATCCCAGTCACCCTTACGAAAACGAGGATGTACGTTGTCGCCGTTGGTTGACCAACCTGCCGCCCTTGCATTGAACTAACTTAGCTTTCTTTTCACATTACACTTGGCGTGAGCCTATCGGTGTGATGGAGCTGTGATAAGTTGGATGAAGGCTGTGAAGAGGCTTGTCTCAGAGTCGTGATTGGTTGCTGGCCCTGCTGCAACGATGTTCCTGGGCGCTTAACATCAGTTGCTAAATTGGGAAACGGGCCGTCCTCTGCATTTATTCGACAGAAGCACCAAGACGCTGGCCGTCAAGGGGGCCCAGGTGCTGCAACAAGATACATGAGACTCTGTACGCCTCCTTGCATAATAGTTAACATGTTACAACGCGGGGCGGCGTTGCGGTTTTCTCCCTATATAGACGATGTATCGCCCGCCTCCAGCTCCTCTGGTTATATTTACCACCTACCCTCATTTTAAAGTCATACCGTCGATAACGCAAACCGAGAAAGGGTGCTATTACATACTGCCTTTACCGGGCTTCTATAACTAGCCCACTCCTGCTTTCCCTTGCCAATATATACAAGTGTTGGTGGGAGACTCACTGCCAGCGCAAATATGCTGGAGTCATCCCTCTTCCGCCTTAACCTATTACCTCTGGCCTTGTTCGCCCTATTTGAATCGCAGCTTATCGTGGCAAATCCAGTACCATACGCTGATGAATATGATTATGAGGGGGTCGTCCCCGGAAGTCTTGGAGACGCGGGCTCAGACGCATCGACGGGCTCATCTGGAGCGGAGGGTGGATCGGTAAAGATACCGAAAGGCGCCCTAATAGCAATGATTATTGTGGTTGTAATTGTTGTTATAACTGGAAGTATGTCTGCATTTCATTGTCTCTAGTTGAACTTATCTAACTTCGCCTCCAGTAACCACTGGTGTTTTATTCTACCAAGCAAAGCGAAGGCAATGGACGATGAGAGAAACAATGCGGTACTCAGTCCGTAGAGTCGCTGAGTCCATCAAATCTCCTATGACTCCTACCTTTAGAAGCCGCGGCCAATATCCAATGACTCCTGCCGGGGCCAGAGCAATAGCGTCTCGCCAGCCAAAACCCTCACTGCAGCCTACAAATCCTATGTCCCACTATCAAAACCGCTCTACACGACCGGGAGATAGGCATCCTCGTATGACCGAGGGTGAGAAGGGGGGCCAAAGGAGTGAGAAAACAAACTCCAACTTTGCTAAGCTTCTTTCGTTCAAGAACAGTAGATGAATTACAAGGATTGGCATTAGAGCTGTTCGGTCGCAAATGTGAAGCCTGATGACGTTTTCTTCGTGTCCCATCTTTGCTGTTGTCTACTTTGGAAATGGTCTAGAGTGAAGGTGTTCAATGGTTGTCCCTTTGGTAGTTACCGCTATTTCTTGATGTTTTGATGCATGTATCATACCCGCCATTTGTGGCTATTATATTTATTCTCATAACTTGGTCTCATATCATTATATAACGACAATGTAGTCTATTATTGTATGCTATAGACCGCCGCTAATGCCCCCCCTTTATGTATCATAATGAAGTCGCTGATGCAAATGTTGCCGACAAAAAAAAAAAGGCAAAGAAATAACCACGGTCAACATAACCAACTCCGTAAAAATATGCAGACAACCGATGGCTATTTATGATAATAACGATATCGAGCTGCTTGCGCGTGAAATTCTCCGATACTCGGACACCTTTGGGCTTACCGCATGCTTTATATTGCCATCATTATCATCCATCGAATAATTATTATACGGTCCTCTCTGTCGAAGTCTAGTTTCTTCTGCCTCTGCTTCCTCTGCACTAATCATGTAATAGTGTTCGTCCTTTTCGTCCATGGAAATCATCCATCGTTGGGTAAGTTGTTTGCCTTCTGGCCCAGCGCCACAAGCTCCGCTAACATATATGCTAGGCGGGCTGTTTAAAGCCAGAGCTAAAGTGTTTTGAGGCTCAGTGAAATCAGTTAGCTGTACACCTCGGAAGGCTAGGTACAGATACACTGAGCAAATGAGATTTGTGACTAGGACAAGGGCTAGAACGGCATAGAACACATTCTGCCATGCTGGTGAGTTCGCCCCTGAGGCATAATCAGAGGCCCATACTGTGGCGTGGAACTGTTCAAAAATGGATTCGTTGTGGCCTGCCATCCGAGCATCAGCAAATGTCTTTCGATGATCAAAAGACGCATCCTGGGTCCCCAGTAGCAGGAGAGAGCTGGCCATTGCTGCTAGGGCTTCAGCGACGGATGGCAAGTGTGGATCTAAGGACGATATGTTTGTCTTGCTATCAGAATTGGGGATCAGTTGGGAGAGTAGGCGCGCATTGCTCCCGTAGCCGTCCGATAACCCTGTGTTTAATGCTATAGATCTAGCCCATTCTTCGGCAACATTTTTCCAGTCCTTGTCAATGATGACTCGAGGCGCATCAGGGGCAACGGATTGGTACGTCATGGAGTCTGCAGCGCTGCCGCACTGAGTGTAAAGTACTCCACCACTGGATGCCGCCTCATATTTTGTTAAACACTGGGGTGTCAAGCCTCCTTTCATTTGACACAGGTAGTGAGGCGGATAGATCGATGGAGGAGATGACCCTAGAAGGTAAATTGAATTTGTCTCAAACAGTCCAGTCACATTGATAATCGTGTTATATTCCAGTGGAATCTTAGGGAATATAGGTGGTCTTTGGCCCCGATCCCCAAATTTCTTTCCAAATTCGAAAATATCATCGACCACTGTAGCATTCAGCCAATCTGGATAATTTGGCATATCCGACGTCTGATTCATGAGCCAGGTAGATGCATTAAATGGAAAGTTTGGATGAGGCCATTTGGTATAAACGATGGGAGCCAGCTCTTCCTCCGTCATGCCTGCACAGACTACATTGACAACTGGCGATGGAACCGCGGCTTTGATATTAAATTCTCCTTGCCCTCCAAGATCCTCGGGCAAGCGGATCTTGTTCTTGGGATGCCTGGCTGCTGTGAATATACCAGCATGCGGCATTGCTGCTGTGACGTTGACAACCATCCGGCCCCATTTGATAGAGAGTTCAGTCATATTGTATGGCTCAATCCAACTTCCTTTTACGGTGGTATTATCATACCAGGTACCGGTTGGTGGAGGGCGAAGCAGCATATCCGCTGAGCCATGGGTGGAGCTAAACTCAGTCCAATGCCCCAGATACTGTTCGTAATTATGGAACGATCTGCCGGAGAATGCAATTTGCATGCAAGTTGAGCCTCGGTTTATGGGGTCAACCGCTAGAGGAACCGGGCTTTGACAGTTGCTGAATAAATATGAGGCATTGGCGAATTTGGTCTTAACCTCACCGGTGAGCTCCCTGACCTCAGGAATACCAGCAGTGAGCCTTGGTGAAACCAGCGCCTCTGCGGCAGTTGTATAAAACATGGCCACAAAGGTCGTGGTCATTGCAATAATCCCCAGCAGCGTAAGAGCCGAATGCTTGACATTTTCCCAGTGGGTGATCAGAGTTCCAGGCTGCATGACCCAAGTGCGCATCGACATATCGGCAATGGTGATGCCTCCAGCATTCTTGCCCAGGGCTTTTCGGCTGAGTACCTGTCCTAAGAAAGCAACGAAGACGGTGACGAATGACAATTCAATTGTCTTTGCAAAGAGGGCACTTAGAAGTGTGGCGGTAGATGGTGCCAGCCCTCCGCTACCTCCGATCCTGTTCCCGTAATGGGGTTTCATGCAGGCAACCACAAAGTATATGGCGGAAAACGCTGTGGAATAGAATGCGAGAGCTAGTATAGCAATCGATAGCCATGCAGTTCGCCGCTGAACGACATGTCTGCGGGTCGGGCAGCGCACACGTTTGGGGCGGTCTATCGAGTAAAAGGTAATAGCTATATTAGCCGGTGCTTCTCACAAGGATCTCTCATATAATATTTAATAGTTAACATACCATAGTCCCGTCCATCTTCCGGCTCAACAATACGAACTGTGTTATGATCTGACCCATCGGACTGGAAAGAGGAATGCAAAGGGGGTGACGGGCGAAGGTAAGTTCCAAGGTCTGGAGGTGTATCGCCGTCTCGTAACAACGACGACTGGCTTATATTCCTCGAGTGATAGGATGGATGATATCCCAAGTCAGCGTCTTCTCCCATTCCACCAACTACTCCGTTGCCTGGTTGGCCAATTCCCAACCCGAACCCTCTAGACGACGCATCTTGATAAGCTGGAGTGGTGACGGGCTTTGGAGAACTGAATGCTTCAGAAGGATGGAGGTATGGCTCGTCAACGGAGGATAGTCGACGATAAGCTGCAGTATTCCTTGACAAGGCGATTGAGTCTCCTCCCCGATGACGGCTATTCGCAGTGGGATGAAGAAATATCTGATCAAAGTCTGAGTCTCGACTTGGTTCCATCTGAACAGAGAGAGCTCCTGATGTTTATGATAAATGCATCTATACCCGAAACATGGAGGAAAGGACAAAAGAAGGAGAAAGAGGAAGCGTAGAGAAATTCTGCGGGATTTACAGCAAATACCAGGCAAACAAAGGAGAGTGATATTTTGGATTAACTGTCTAAATCCACAAATAATCGGGGAATCAGGATGTAAAACGCGACCAAACAGCTCGACCAGGGCATTGTGGAGGTGAATAACATCCTTTCAGCCTTATTTGAATAAGATACGAGGAATCTCTGTAGCGTCATCCTGGAATGCATAGCCAGGTGATAATAGGCGAGCTCACAGCCACAGCCTTCCCGTCTTTCCTTGGTGCGTTTCTGGGTTATGATGGCGCTACTAAGCTTGGGGACAGCTGTTTCTGTCGAATCTTTAAATACAAACCAATCAGAGAGATTCCCTAGCTGCTGGCAAATGGAGACCGTCTCGTACCTGTTGACATCCTGGTTGGTTCGTCTTAACAAGCGTCTTCCATCGCGGGATCCAACAGAATCCTTCAGGCTTAAGCAGGAAGATCCTACATAAAAGTACATATAGTACTCCGGAGTATGCCTGCCAATAGGTTTATCAGCAAAAAAAGCCAGCGTTCCTCTTCAAACTAGTTATGAGTTCTTCCTCAAGCTTACCATTTTAACACAGATAACTAAACCCTGAGTGCATCCTCAATCTCGCTATGATAGGAGCTGGTGGATGGTTTCAGGGAGTCCTGTTCGACAGGCTAGTCTCTAAAACGTTCCCATACTTCATACTCTGCGGGTACCCTTTCATCAGCCCACAAACATCTTTTTCCTGCTGGCTGTGAGATGAAAATGAGGTTGAAAGTTGAGGCTGAAGGTCAAAGTAGTAAACCCCGTGACTTCTGACCTAAAAAGGGTTAAAAAGACATCAACCTCACTCCTTTGTCTACAACAACGTCGACCCCAACCATAAGTACGATGGCAGACCCTACTACTCATAATGGGGGGCTCTCCCCCGCTGGGGGGAAAATTGTCAAAGAGTGTATTGTCGAGGTGCCTACAGCTGGTATCAAGGATAATCATATCTTTTTTGTTACAAGGCCACCTAGCTCCGGCATGCAAGACACTGGTTTTCAATTTGCCAGGCCTACACTTCCAGGGAGAGCCTTTAGTTCTCACCCTCAGCCTAGATGCTCCCAGGCCGTTGGGAGGGAGGGCACGTTTTCATCCCAGAGGTACCAGATGGTCCACCCCTGTACCACGATGGGCTTGTCTTGCTGATTTCTAGTTAAAGCCAATATAATAAGGAGGCATTGGCGCCAGATACGACACCACAAAGTGGAAAAGTCGTGACAGAGGATTTTGGCCATGCAGACAATGGAAAGGCCAGGGCTTCTGAAAGAGCTAGGACCGCCTCTCCTTCCTTGGAGAGCGGTACACCTACCAGCTCAGCATTTTCGATATCCAGTCAAAATATCCCACCCTCTATTCTATCTAAAAACAGAAAAGAAAATATTTCTATCAATACCTTACAGACTACTGAAGATGAATTATTTAAATTGCTGATACAGAAGCTGAAGAAAAGGGAAGTGGCTGAGGCGGCCGCCGCGAAGTTGAGAGATGAGCTGAAGGCGAATTTGCGTGATGCAGGCGAGGACAACAAACTGCTTACGGTTAGGCTAAAGAATTTGGAGTACAAATATGAAGAGCAACAAATGGAAAAGACCGCTCAAAGACAGTCAATCGAGCGGTGGAAGGTGAAGTTTGGGAAGGTAAGGGGCCTCATGGTTGGAATTGCGGATCACCAGGAGAGGCTCCTTAAGGAGTATCGATCGATTCGAAAGGAACAGGTTTCTCTAAACATCGAAAAAGATCAAATCAACGATAGCCTAAACTATCTCACAGAAAGCACCAAGGGTCTAGGGAAGAATATAAGCCAGTACAAAGCCCAGCTTACGGGCGTTATCCATCAGTTTACTGCGGAAGAGAACGCTCTCGAAGCCCTCGTTAAATCAAAAGAATCCCAAAACAAAGACATGGAGCGGTTGCTAGAGGAAAAGAATCAAGCTATAGAGGACGCACAAGCACTTGCTTGCAAAATAGACTCTGAAAAGTTAACACTCGAATTAAATTCCAGGGAGGCTGAGAAAAGAATACGAGAGGAACTCTCCAGGGCAAGCTTAATATCTAAAGACCAAGACCGTGCTAGGTTTGAGCAAGAAAAACATACCCTTACCAGGGAAAAACAACAGGCAGAAGCAGATAACGCTAAACTCGGAGAAGAGCTGGAGACAATGAAAGCAGAGCTAGTAGGTATAAAGCATTGTTACCCCTCGTTCTATGCTAATACGCTTCGAAGGTAGGAACCAGTGCTAAGCATGCGGAGCTATTGTTCACGGTAAAGTTCACGTTCCCTAAGCTACCTTTCAAATATTCTACGTAAACAATATCTACCAATGCTGACTATATAGTCTAGGTGGGTAATTATCAAAAGAAGCTCGATGGGGCCGAAAAGGAATGTGAAACGATAAAGCTCGCGCATGAGAAAGCTATTTTAGCTCTTAAACAGCATCAAGCCTCGCAAGTAGGAGAGAAACATAACATTCAAAAACAGCTGGAAGCTATCCAAGAGGCGAATATAGCATTAAAACAGGAGAATTCAGCTCTAAAACTTACCAACATAGCGAATCTTGGAGAGCACGTAACCCTAAAGCAGGAGAATTCGGCTTTACAGCAGATCAATGTGGTTAACCATAAAGAGAACGCATCTTTACAGCAAGAGAACACAGATATCAAGACACAGGTTACAGCCTTAAAGCAAGAAAATGCAAACATTAAGGCAGAAAAGTCAATATTACAAAAAGAGAACGCACGTATCAAGGCAAATAAAGCAGTCACTGAGACAGAAAAAGCAGCTCTTCAAGAAGAGAATACTATATTAAAACAGGCGAATGCGGAGATCAAGGCAAACAATGTGACGATCATTGCTGAAAATACAGCCCTTAAAGAAAGGAATGACAAGCTCACAGCTGATAAACTAGATTGCGCAGCCGGGACTAATACTCAATCTATCAACATTCTTAATGATTCAGATGACGGTCCCATTAAGAAAGAGAAAGGGGACTCGTCGCTGAAAGGGATTCTAAAAGAAACACAATCAACTACTGCCCCATCAATTGAGCGTCCAGCACAATTTCACACCCCCTCCAAAGATACTAAAAAGAAACGATTGAGAGATGTAAACGCAGCTCCGAGGCGTCAATCTCGCGTTTCATCTAGGTTCTTTGATCCCCAGCCAACCCCGAGTCCTTCTCTATCGGTGATTACAAGTCAGCAAGGCCTGACTTGGGCTGTTAATCATTCTGTGGATACTTTTGTGACACAATCTAGTGTTCATAGTAGAAAGAGGCGTAGAGGTAAGATTGAGTGAGTCTGCGTGTTTTATATTCGAAGATACTAATTCCTGAACAGAAGAGACATTCAACAACAGGTTTGGCCAGAAGTATACGTCCCATTGATGATGAATTCACGGGTAATCAATTCAAGACTACTTATATTATAGTCATATCCATAAGAAGCTTGTTAATCAGTTATTCATTATATATAGATCATAGCACGAAATACTATACAAGGCCCCTAGATCTATGTGCCCCTTTGATTCTTTGTAAGCTTATTCTATGTAGCTTTTCGGGTTGCTAAAGGAACATTTTGAGGTAATGCCTGTCTCGGTCTTGCTTTCGAGACACTCACAGTACCTTAACTGTAAAGAATAAAAAAAAATGAAGAAGAAAATAATCAATAATATACAGGTTTGTCCATCATAATAACGCCCGGCTTCGTTTGTCTCTCCATGACCCATTTTATCAAGGGTTGAGTGTCGCGTTCAGCGTCGATGACGGGTCAATGTTCTTTCTTCAAATTCCAAAAGAATCCTTCCTGAATTAAAGTGACAGCTAGTCTATTCTTCAAATGGTTCCGACATTGTATCGCGTCCTGCGTTGGTCCCTCATCACCCATATTCATTTCAAATCAGGGTGCGTACTCTCTACTTCCGCCGTTTCGATTCCAAAAACAACACTTGTTTCTTGACCACAGGATCGTATTTGAGCATACTGAGCGGACGGCTTGCTCGCGGTCTTGTGAATGTCTTGTAGTAACCGGTCATTGCCATGGAGATAAGGCGGACGGCGATGGTTCGGGATTTAGCTATATACAAGAACTACTTAGCAACCACGCTCTGTCCAGTTAAGGATAAATGAGGGTTAGCACGAAGTTGATGAGCAACTGACCTTTTTTAGCCATGGTTTGAAAGGAAAACAGTGAAATTAGTCGTCAATCAACTCGAGAATCAACTCGGGCTGTGAATAGAATGTTGGAGGAAAAAAGTTGATAGTTTTAGTCATGTGATCCATAGATTTTATTATTAAGCAGGTATCACGTGAAAAATAGCGCCTAGCGCCTAGGCAAAAGTTTGAAGCGAGCCTCTATGTGGACTTGATATATTGTGTCAGAATCTGCCATTCGGCCAAAAAGGCGAGCCCGCACTGATTGGCGGCAGAGAGACTTGTTATATTTGACATATTGTTAAGTTCTTCAAAAGGGCGGAGCGGGTAACCATGCTACAGCGTTTGCGGGCATCAGTAATTTTTTGTCAAATATGAGCAAGAGCAGCGAATGATGATTGGCTGAATGAGTTTGAACGTATATATAGGTATAAATATATGTATATTGGTGAGCTTAAAGAGCTTAGGTATAGGGTATAAGTCTCTACTAGATATAATAGAGGTAGTATACGTAATCTAACTATATTACTAATTAAGTATAATATTTAATATACCCCCCTAGCTCGAATAAGCTAAAATAGATATATTAAACGATTTAGATATATAAAAATAGGAAATAAAGCTATATAGTTACTAGATTAGAAAGGTACTACTGGTAGGAAGGTATTATAAAAAGTAAAAAAGAAAAGATATCTACGTAGGTACTAGTATCTACCTGTAAGGGGTTGGACCTCTATTCCCTTCTCGGGTCACCGCGCGCTCCGTAATTAACGAGGTAGTAAGGTCTATCTAGAGATACTATTACTAGACTCCCCCTTTTACTCTCGCGCACGTAACCCTTAATATAGTTATATAACCTTAACGCCTAGAGCTATAGCTCTATCCCCTATTACCGACTTCCTTCCTTTTCCCCTTTCTTCTTCTTCCCTATATATTTTATCTTCGACTTATAGATACCCTTAGTTAGTTAAATAGAACTCTCTTCGGCCGTTAATATTATAAAATATATTATTATATTGGTCTTATTAGTTATATTAATTATATTAGATATATTAGTTATATTAGATATATTAGTTATATTAGATATATTGGTTATATTAGATATATTGGTTATATTAGATATATTAGGTATATCGAGTATATAGAAGATATTAGAAATATTAGTATAGAAATATTAGAATAGAAGATTAGAACGTAATAGATATAGCAGAAGGCTAATATTAGAGCTAGGAGAATAATAGAAATAGATAGTAGAATAATAACTAGCCACCGAGTTAGTTAGGAGCTTTTCTAGAGTAGTAGAGTACCCTTATAGAGAGGTAGACGGAGTAGATTAGAACCTTAATAGCGTAGCTAGCCACGCTAAGAGAGAGGGTATAGGAGTAGGGGATACCTCTAGTAGTATATCTTATCCTCTAAGCCTTACTAGCCTCCTCGATATAGATACTACCACACCCTAATTAGCTAAAACCCGCCTTACTAAATATAGAGAAGTTTAGCGGGGAAAGACTATTAGACTATCTATTATAGAGGATAGAAGTTAACGCTAAACTTATAGTAGATAGGGAGTTAATTAGGGGCCCTAGCTAGCGAGTATAGTATATTTTCTCCTAACTAGAAGGAGTAGTAGTAAAGAGAGTCCTTCTCTAGATAGAGTATAACTAGTACGATCTAAGCTAGTTTACACTAGTATATTTCTATACTTATCTAGACTATCTTTTCGTCGACCTAGCTTAATAGGAGAAGGCTAGGCGGCGGGTATATACTATACGCTAAGGGAAGCGAGTACTAGCTAAGTTTCTTATAGAATTTAATTAAGTTATTATAGAAGTAGGAGGCTATACTTGGGACAATATAGTAAAGATGGAAGTACTATAGATAGCCCTAGACCCTAAGCTCCTAGAGTATATAATTAGAGTAGATACCCCCGAGTCCTATAAGGACTACTACTCCCTCCTTAGGCGAACGGATAATAGGTCTAGAGAGATATAGTAAGTAGCCTAGGCCTAGCGTATCGGGCTCTAAGGTTATAGAGTATAGAGCTCTTAGAACTAGTAGCCCTATATTCTCGCCCTAATAGTCCCTCAAGGGGACTCTATAGATATTAATAGTATCGTCTAGAAGCTAGCTCGCCGTACTAAGTAGGCGTCGCCTAAAGAGAGGGAAAAGTATAGGTAGAGCCGTAGGTATCTACGCTACAGAGGCGTAGGCTACTTTATTATAGCTTACCCTTACCTACTACTACGCCTAATAATATAGGTTATAGATATAACCCCGGCGGCGTTAGGACTACTACTAGATCTAGAAGAGGAGGAGGACGCTAATTACTCGGGCTAGGAAAAAGACTAGCTCCTATATTAAAGCGTATATAGGAGCCCCAAGAAGATATACTATAAGAATAGTAAAGGTTCTAGAAAGGAAAAATAGAAAATCTATATATCGTTATAGATACTATAGTAAATTAAACTACTATAGCTAGAACTATAATAGATACTAGCTATAGAGCCTATAGAGTAATAATATTAGCCTTTACTAGAAAGTAGTGTATTAAGCGTATTCCAATTATACCACGTATACTCTCCGGTATAAATAGACTAATAGATAAGATAATAATAGAAATAGAATATATAACTCTAGATATTATAGGTAACTAATAGAAGCGTATATTTATATATATTTTGCTACGGGTAGTAGAGTATAATATTATATTAGGAAGGGGTTAGATAGCAGATTAGGACGCCTTATTAGAAAAATAGACGAGGATATTAGTTTTTAATTAGATAGGGGTTAGAGTAGAGGTAGGGGATATATAGAGGAAAATAGATATAAAGGAAATTTTAACTATAGCCTTTAGCTACTTATATAGGAGAGTAAGGAGGGGGAAGGTATAAAAGGGAGACCTCGATAAGTAGAAGGCAGAGTGCCGTCTACGAATAACGTTAGAATCTATCTAGCGAAGACCTTACTAGATAACTTCTAGCGAGTCTATAGGATAAGATATATAAGTACTAATAAGGCCGGTCTAGCGATACTATTACTAGACGGCCCCTATCGAGCCTACTATATAGAGTATACTATACGTATAGGTAATAATAGAGCCTATCTATAGAAGTCTTTACTAGATAGCTCCTATTAAAATATTCGTAGCGAGTATAGCGGATATTAAGAAGGCTCTAAAGGTAAAGCCACAGACGGATTCTAGAACGAAGCTACCGCCGTAGTATTATAAGTATCTAGATATATTTAACTAGAAGGTAGTAGAAATACTATCTCTATATAGATTAGGTATTAATCACGAGATCGAGCTAGTTAAATAGAACGAACGGGGAAATAAGCTAAAGATTCTCTAGGGCCCCCTTTATAATATATCTAGAGGCGAGCTATTAGTACTTCGGAAAACCCTTATAGAACTACTAGAGAAAGGGTTTATCCGCGTAAGTAACTTACCTACGGTTACCCCTATACTATTTACTAAGAAGCTAGAAGGAGGACTAAGGTTCTATATTAACTATAGGGGCCTAAATAAGATTACCCGAAAGGATAGATACCCCCTTCCTCTAATAAATAAGATACTATAGCGGATTTTAAAGGCGAAATAGTTTACTAAGCTTAATATAATTACTACCTTTTATTAGCTTTAGATAGCGGAAGGATCGAAATAGATAACGGCGTTTAGAATATAATATAGCCTATATAAATAGCTCATAACCCTATTTAGTCTAGCTAATATATTAAGTATATTCTAACGATATATTAACTAGGTACTATAGAACTTCCTAGACGAATTCGTATTAGCCTATATTAACGATATCTTAATTTTTATAGAAGGGCCCCTTAAAGAATATAGAGCGTAGGTAAAGAGAGTACTCTAGAAACTAAGAGAGGTAGGACTATCTATCGATATTAATAAGAGTAAATTTAAAGTTACTTCTACTAAGTATTTTAGGTTTATTATTAATACTAAGGAAGGAATTAAGATAGACCCCGCGAAGGTTAATACTATTCTAAACTAGTAAGTATTATAATTAGTAAAAAGAGTATAAGGGTTTCTAGGGTTCGTAAACTTTTATCGGAGATTTATAAAGGACTTCTTAAAGATAGCGGCCCCCTTAATAGAACTTATTAAAAAGGATACCGAGTTTAAGTAGATATTAGAGGCTAATACGGCCTTTAATAAACTTAAAAAGAAATTTATAGTTAAGCCTACCCTTTTATAATTTAATCTAGAATAGGAGACTATACTAGAAACTAACTCTTCCGAATATATAGTAGGAGGTACCTTAATATAGTATAATAATAAGAGCTTTCTTCGCCCCTATACCTTCTATTTAAAAAGGAACTCTCCGGCTAAGTATAACTATAAGATCTATAATAAGGAACTACTCGTAGTTATCCGGTACTTAGAAGAATAGAAAG